TTTTGCAATTGTTGGTATTTTTATAATGGCAACTGAAGACCAGACACCAAACCAACATTTATTTTCCGGGTTAATTAGTTGTGATTATTTATATGCGTCACTCGGTCTCTTAATCACTTATAGCTAGCGAATTTAATTTAAATGAATTAATTTTTTTGGATGCCTATGGGTTTCTTGTTATGTTTGTGTTCGTAGCAGGAGATATCTTTCAATGTGTGGAGCATCGGCCGATCTGTTTGCATGACCACAAAGAGGGAAGGCACCTGATACCGTCTATGTTGTAATCCTATTATATTATATTTTATAATTATCATTATTGGAGACTTGAGATCTAAATGTCAATTTATTTGTATTTACTTTGTTGTATATATTAAAAGCATTAAGAAAAATATAAAAGATTTTATATTTATTTTCCAGGCATCGCTGGTGTTGCTTGGGTGTGTTCGCGTTATTGTGGGAGGTACCATATTAATGTGTGAAGCATCGGTCGAACCATTTACATGAGTACGGAGAGGGATATGATTCCTGGTAAATTCTTTTTATAGGTGTTTTTGTTGGTTTGATTTGTAAATGTAATGATAATAGTATTAATATGTTAATTAGTCACTAATTTAATACACCCAGTTAGATATGTTTTAAATTGAAACTTTCAATACACTGGCGATTTGCTGAGGGCATATCACTGAGGTGGATATAAGCCCACGAGGATAACGGAGCTTTAATCAGCTAATTGGTTACTAAAGATCTGGACATCATATTATAAAACAAACATCTGATGAATTTTTTAAGTGATAATAAATAACCGATCCATAAAATAAATAAAAACAAAATTTATTAAATAATTTTACATATATATATATAAATCAATCAATTATTCCAAGAATTTTGTTTTAAAAACTGTAAAGCTGAAAGAAATTTTTTCAATAATCATATAAATTTTTTTTCCGGATATTTTGTTTCTAATTTTATGCGGAAGTAAAATTATATTGGAAAAATAAATTTGCAATTTGCTATATATTTTTTGCAAAAAATTTAAATAATAAAATTCTAAAAAAAATTTAAAAAAAATCCCAAAAATAAAAAAATTTTAAAATGCGTGAAATCGTACATCTACAATGCGGTCAATGTGGTAACCAAATTGGAGCAAAATTTTGGGAAGTTATTTCCGATGAACATTGCATTGATTGCAAAGGCTGCTACTATGGTGATAGTGATCTACAATTGGAGCGAATCAATGTCTACTACAATGAAGCCAATGGAGCTAAATATGTGCCTCGAGCCGTACTTGTTGATCTTGAGCCCGGTACAATGGATTCTATACGTTCCGGTTGCTTTGGTCAAATTTTTCGGCCTGATAATTTCATATTTGGGCAAAGTGGAGCTGGTAACAATTGGGCTAAGGGACATTACACTGAAGGTGCTGAACTATTGGAATCAGTGTTGGATATAGTAAGACGAGAAGCAGAAGGCTGCGATTGTTTACAAGTAAGTAAACAGAGTATAGTCACATTTAATAAAACCGGTTAAAAAAAATGCCAATTATTAGAATAATAGTTTTAATGGCAATGTTGCTGTGACTGATACTGATATATGAATTTCTGTAATTTTTAAGTTATTATCATTAATAGGATACATTAGTAATAAGTTTATCATATTTCCCAAACATATGAAATTTTTTTAAGAAAGCCCAATGCTTTAAGTATGTTTTCTGCGTGTATGTATAAATATATGCATTTTTCTCCTACAACAATATCTATCTTAACTTTTATTCAATATTTGTAGGGCTTCCAATATGTACATTCACTTGGCGGTGGCACCGGTTCTGGACTGGGTACTTTGCTGATAGCCCGATTAAAGGAAGAATTCACTGACCGTATCCAATTAACATTTTCAATATTTCCATCCCCAAAAGTCTCTGATACTGTTGTTGAGCCTTACAACTGCACATTAGCATTAAGTGAACTCATTGAATTTACCGACGAAACCGTTTGCATCGATAATGAAGCATTGTATGATATTTGCTACAGAACTTTAAAACTAACTACTCCCACCTATGGCGATTTAAATCATCTTGTATCTGCTACCATGTCTGGTATTACAACTTGCTTACGTTTCCCCGGTCAATTGAATGCCGATTTACGGAAACTTGCTGTGAATATGGTTCCATTTCCACGCTTACACTTTTTTGTACCCGGTTTTGTGCCACTAACGTCTCGTGGTTCAATGTGCTATCGGGCACTGACAGTACCAGAACTAACATTACAGATGTTTGATGCTAAGAACATGATGACTGCATGCGATCCACGTCATGGGCGTTACTTAACAGTAGCAGCCATCTTTCGAGGTCGTATGTCAATGAAAGAAGTTGATGAGCAGATGTTGAATATACAAAACAAAAACAGTCCATACTTTGCCGATTGGATACCGCATAATGTTAAAACAGCTGTCTGTGACATACCACCACGAGGGCTTAAAATGTCAGCTACCTTCTTAGGGAACACCACAGCTATACAGGAAATATTCCGACGAGTGTCGGAACAATTCACTTCAATGTTTAGACGTAAGGCATTTTTGCATTGGTACACAGCGGAGGGTATGGATGAAATGGAGTTCACAGAAGCCGAAAAAAACGTAAGTGATGTTATGAATGAATATCAACAATATCAAGAGGCTACAGCTGATGAAGAAGGCGAGTTTGAAGATGATGACAATGAATAAAGTACACATGCAGATTGTTCACTGAGGACATAGATATATTTGATAGATCGATTATTTACATTAGACGAAACCAAAAATATATTTCGCTAGTAAAAAATTATTAAAATTTTTACAAAGTACAACAAAATGTACTATAAAATCAATATGTAAAAAAAGGAAATAAAAATATTTTTGGTCTCAGATATTTTTTGTAAAAATTATGTGTTTTTGTTGTTTAAGTAGAGATTGAATTTGCCAATAAGTACAATTATATGAGATATAACCTGATATAAATATTGCTTGGAACATATTTATTTATATATGCATCCCTTTGTATTGTTACAGCAATAAAAAATGTTTAAGTATAGTTTAGGATAATTACAGTTATAAACTGTTAGATAAATTTTTATATTGGTAACATATACCATACATCATACAATCAATTATTTATAACAACCAACTTGACCAACAGTTATTTAGAACACCCTTACCGCTATAGGTATATATTTAACAAAAGGTATTGGTGGTATTTATATTGAACTCAACTGCAATGTAATTTAGAGTTGAAAAAGTCAAAACAATGAGATTAATTTTAATTATTTGTCCATTGAATTGGATTGCTTCTTATCTCGGCAGAGTAACTTCAAAGAACACTGATGATTTAATTAATAAAAATTAAAAACAATTTTTTTCTTTTGCAAGCTTGCTTGCTTTCATTAAATATTTATTAATTTTATATAACAAAAATCGGGTTCACACTAAAATTTCCTTTGTATTAAAATAAATTTTTTATTAATTTTTCTTTTGATGACTAAGTCTCAACTTATAAAAAATTTAGTTTTTAATTATTTTATTCCAAATTCATACAAAATCAACAATAATTTAATAAATATTTAATAGGTAACTGAATCATACATACATAATTAAGAAGTCCAAATGATTATACAATATCAAAACAAATTTTAAAAGGACTCTTGTATTTCTCTTCACATCTATAATATTCAATTAGATGTAGATTTTTTAATTAAAATCAATTTAATGTAAAAAAATATTTTTATTAAGAATTGCTGAGTCAGAATTTTTATTAAAAAACTTGCACACGATGATTTTCACGATCGCAGACTAAAATGTTACCATTTGACATAATGGCAACTCCTTCCAAACCTTTAAATTCTGAATCTCCAGAACCCCAAGAACCAAATGTTTTAAGAAAACTACCATCAGGGTTGAAGATTTGTATACGATTATTGCCGGAATCCGCAACAAATATATATCCTTGCTCATCCACTGCAACACCTCTGTAAAGATAAAAATGAAAAGTTAAAATAGGATTTTATTACAGATATCAATTTTGTTCGAATTTAGTATATATATATATATATATATTAATAGTATATTAATTATTAATTGGCTGAAATGTCCGAAGTTCGACTCTATCGCAAAAATGCATTCAGAAGGAGCTTTCCTTTAAAATATAGAATTAAAATTTTATTACAACTTGAAGTTTAATTTAGATGATAGTTCTACTGCTCTTATTAATTATAAAACAATGGATTCAAATCAATTTTGTTGTTAATCATTACTTTGGAAAAATAAAGGGAAAAAAATACAGTGCAAGAGAAGTTATATGCCTTATGTTATCTGAACTCTGCGCGATCGAAAGTAACCATTGAACGTTGGTTTATGACTGTAAGAACAATAATAATGATACTCAGACTGTGGTCGACTAAGTAGGGCGGTTACTAATTTTAAAAATGTCCAAAAAATCATTTGTTCATGTGAAAATTACTCTCCAAGAGGATGTAACGTTCACTCACAATCGTCGACGATCTAAAGGACTGTTTTAAATACTCTTAGTATAAAATAAAACGAACTTTTTGCATCTATATATAGCAATGGATAAAACATGGATTCACTACTTCACTACTCTTACAGGCCCAAATGAAGAAAGAAGAGATGCTATTTCGTCAAGATCTGTTTCGTTACAATGGGTTATAATGGCAAAATTGCACGAAGCCCGTTTTGTATTGCTTTTGCATCCAACACATTTGCAAAATTTGGGCCCAGCGCCTACTAGCAGTTCTTAAGATCTTAATTCCAATGAAGGAGTCATACCTGAAACAAACGACTACTTTGAGACCAAAGATAATTGTTTCTACAACAGATGTAATGAAATGTTATAGAAGCACTAGAGAGACTGTAGTGCTCTTGAAGGAAACTGTATTAATAAGTAGAGTTATATTTTGCAAAGAAAAAGTATATTTTGATAATTTAGTCTTCAGACTTTTTAGCCGATGTATTAAAATATTAATTAATTTTTCAGTTTTTATGAAAATTTCATACTGTTTCTTAGAACTCTTCCGATAAATGAATTAATGAGTAAACATCAGAAAGTAATATGCTTCACAATCATTTATATTTGAAAATAAATTCATCTTTTCCTTTTCAAGATAATTCTGTCTTTTATATATTAACATAAATATATCAAAGGATTCTGCAGGTAATATACTCTACCTTGGAAATTTAAATTGACCATCATCTGAACCTTCACCACCAAATGTTGTTACCACTTTACCATTGACATCAAAAATCTGTAAAATAAATATAAAAATGTACATGGACCATATTGAACACGTTTATGTTAACATTTTGAGAGTTAAAAATTATTAAAAAAATATATTGATTGTTATAAAAAAAAGCGGATAGCTGTGAGCTTAAATGGCAATGAATGCAAAATACTGAAATGATGCAGAAAATTACCTGAATTCTATGATTGTTCGAATCCGACACAATAACGCGATTCGTATTCGAGACAGCAATGTAGTGTGGATGTTCGAGTTGTCCTTCGCCGCGACCGCATGAACCAAATTTACCAACAAAGGATCCATCCGATTGGAAAACCTACAAATAAAAGAATCTCAAATAAATGCACAGAACAAGGCATTAAACAATCAAAGGAATTACATTGGAATTAATATAGTGAAAAATTTACAAGAGTATAAAATTCAAATTAAAATTTAAATTAAAATTCAAATTAAAATTAAAATTATATTTATCGTTGCTATGAATGTAAAATAAATTTATGTTAAGCTTTATTAAAATACATTGAATTTCATATAAAATATTAAGCCAAATATTAAAATGTAAATATTTGCATAAAGTTTAGAGACATCTGCATATAAATGCATAAATCGTTATTTCAATAAAAGTGTATCTTTCATGTATTTACTTTGTATTTAACTGCAAATATTTTATTCGAATGAAAAATATGCTTAAAATATTTTTCAACCATACCACATATGTTGAAGCTTGCTATTAAAATTATGATAATTTATGAATATAAAATTATGGCAGTGCATTTATTTTAAAGTTATGCAGATACTCATGAAGTACGGAAAAAAATTTTTAACCCACCTGTACTCTGTGGTTTTCCTTATCACACACATAAATGAAACCGAGTGCGTCAGTTGTAACGCCCCAAGGATAATTGAATTTGCCATCTGCAGTGCCCTGTGAGCCAAATGCGCGCAGGAAACGTCCTTGAGGATCAAGTACTTGTATACGGTGATTATATCTACAAAATAAATTATTGCAAAAAGTACATACCTAAATTGCATATACTAAACTAATTTTCATTTATCGTAGAAAATACAAATACAATTCAAATTGTGCAAAGATTTTATAATGAAATTATTTTCTAACCTGGGGGATTAATGATTTATTGCATTAATTAAATTGTATCTTTGTTTTGTATAAATACTTTGTTTATTTTGCTAATATTGATACATTGAAATATTCATTTATTTTCCGGTTAATTATATATATAATCAATTACATATGCAAAACAATTGCAATTAAATTACAAATTGCTAAATAAACAATAAAATACTTTCATTCAACTTTATATATAGAAAGTTTTTATTAAAAAGTATGCTTTAACTTACTTAAAACTGATAAGAAGTGAAGAAATAATGCAGATATTTGTCATTCGTCTTAAGTCTTAATAACGAAGCCTGATAATTTGATTAGTAGCCCTACTGACCTAATATGCCTTCATTACAGATTATAAGCCTGATAATTTGATTAGTGGCCCTACTGACCTAATATGCCTTCATTACAGATAATACGATACGAATCCAGTAGGATTCAGTAGAAATACATAAAATGCTCACTCAGTGAATGTCTTGCTTTGTTAATAAGGCAAGCTATCGACCATACACCTTTAGATGGTGTTATGGTACTCCACCTAGAGTACATTATTTCTAGTGTTGTTGCATTAAAAACTATATTTGTATATAGTTTGTTTCTACATAGTCAGTTCAGTTTGTTCATATATTATATGCCTCATAAGTCTGTATAATTAAATAGCTTAACATTCACTAACACAACTTTACGTTAAACTACATATCCTTTTATTTCTGTGTAATTTCTTTTTAATCAGAATAAATAGATTAAGATATAATTATAACTCATTTTATAAACTGACCAATTCCGGATTATTATTCGTTGTATAAATACCATATAAACTTCAACATATATCTTTACCGATGAGTGTAGCGATTTCTGTTACAGAAGTACTGAACTTATTTGCTGCATATCTCACGTTGAGGTATGCACACTTTATTAGAAATAATGAGATTAGCATAGTATTCATTATAATTACAGGCGCACATTGAGAACCCTTCTAAATTTTCCGTAAAAAAATTTAAAATATTTTATAAATACTTAATTTTTCTTAAAAAAGTCTAAGCATTTAATTGGCATGTACACGCCAAACCATGCGTGTTAATTTAAGCATTCCATTTGCCATTTGAGGTTGAAAAATCTCATTAAGATTTCATTATCCGCTTAGCATATTCAATTAGACTAACGCTACTTTATTACCCTACGAAAAGCATTACCCTAATCTAATTAACTATTCCACTTGCATTTGTCTTTTTATATTTTAATTGAATTTATTTGCAAGAAATAATGTGTGGCTTTGTCCTTTTCTAATTAAAAACTTTTGTGTGTGAGCCTTCCATTGTGTAATGCAAGTTTAGTTTATGTAAAAGAAGAAAGTAACTCAATTATAAATAAGATAAATTTATTTTAGGTAACTTTTTTAATCTTTCTTTGCATATATTGAAGGTATTAATTATTTACGAGTACTTACCTATCTGCTATTATATATTGGCCAATGCGATTAACGGCCACGCCGGCCAAACAATCGAATTCACCCTCGCCATTGCCGTATTCGCCAAACTCTTTTATAAAAATGCCATTGGAGTCGAACACTTGTACACGATGATTGGATGAGTCTGCGACGACAATGCTATTATCTGGCCCAACGGCTAGGCCGCGTGGCCAGGTAAAGGATCCGGGCTCGCTCCCCCGGCCCCCCAATTGGAACAGCTGTTGACGCTTTCGCAGGTATACTTGCCTAGGGGAAGTACCTGCTACTCCTGTTATAGCGGCTGCTACCGTAGGGGAGGTAGGGGAGCCTAGCCCGTTTTTTGACCCGTCATCATCAGACGATCCAATTTCGTTGGCCTGACGCAATGGCAGACCTAGGCTGAGGCGACGAGATACATCACTTGCAGTACTACGGCTACTGCTGCTTGCTCCATGCGAGGAGGAAGGCAAAGCCGTTGATGTACTACCGAGCGTATCCCGACTACTACCAGAGGGTGAATCCTTTGTGCTTTTGTTGCCGTATTTGTTCTTTAAATAACGTGCCCAAGAGCTAAGCGCTTCACCGTCTTTAGTTTCTGTTGCCGTTGAACTGGCACCACCACGACCGGAAGTGCGATCAGCTATAGGAGAATTATCTCGCGATTTTAAAGCATGAGATGAGCGACTACGTGCCAAATCAGAACCGCCGTAACCACTATATCTGTAATTTACAAATTGTTAAGAGGGTTAAATCGCAATATTTTTATAAAATATATTTTAGAGATTATTATAGAAGATTTACTGATGACTGATGTGAATCAATGATTATGAAATTGATATTTATTATTTTTTTTTTTTCGTATATTATATGATTATATTTGTTATAGTAGTTATTTTTGTATTTAAAAAATTAATTAATGTAAAATTTTTTACATTTTTATATAAATAACTGTTATAAGTCTGTAACAGAATAAAAATAAATAATGAATTCCTTATTATAAAGGTAGCTTTATTTTGTGAAATAATATTGACTAGTAAGACACTTTTGTAAACAAATTCATTACTATTATAATTTAAACATTTTGAATATTAAAAATGGAAAAAATCCTTTCAATATCATTTACTTTAGTAGATATTGAAGTCATACAACATATGAATTGAAAAGGTGAAAGCTAAATATATTTTTTTACAGTTGGCTAATTCTAAATTGTGAAATTCTAAGAAGAGTTATATAAAAAGCACTTCAAAGAAATATAAGGTCAATTCTTACATATATATGTATAACATATTCAATTAGACAAGATTACGTTAATTTCGGTGACAGTAAACTACACACAGACATATTAGTCTCTGGCACTGCCAGATGAAATTAAGCCTTTATACAGATTTTGTGCTGTAAAAGGCATATTTGTGAAGTAATGGTGTACTTGTAGGTTATTTCCTGAGATAGAACTACCAAGTATTTGTATACAGATGTTTATATTAGACTTTAGCAAATTTAAATCTGCAGCCTGAGTATAGATGGATTAACTGATATCCAATGATTATTTCATTAAAATTGAGTATATATTTAGTATATATTGTATATATTTTAAACCAATTTTTCTAGTGTCTTATTTATATAGTGTTTAAATATCTTAGATATTGCAATTTATAAAGAAGTGAACTTATTTTTTCTCAAATGCAATAGCTCATATCCTCAACTTTCCATACCACAACTGAAAAAATATTTAATAAAATACTAAAGTCGCTTGTTTAACATAAATTAAGCTCATCATATTATTTACCGTTCTATTGCAAGCAATGTTAACCAAAACTACTAACAGAATCTTAAAATGTGAATCAAATATATTTTCAAGTAAGCTCTGCTACTTACAGAATGACTTTCAATTTTTCTGTTATGCTAATGTTGTGATTAAAAATCAAGCTATAAAATCTAAAAATATTTTATTAAAAAATATATTGTTATTTTTTAACAAATAAGCTAAAAGTGAAGAATGCATTAAGCATTCTTAAAGTATTAATTTTTAAATACAAATATAATGTTTGGAGTTTTATACAGATTAAAAAGTATAATCAACTTTTCTGTAATATATTTATGTTCAATGCATGATTTCAGTGATTATTTTATTAATATTTAAGAAATTGTTATTACGACCAATATATTCAATAATAATGTTTTTATTATTACTCGGATTAGGTCGTTAATTTAACACATAAAAATTAAAAATATTTTTGTAAATAAAAATCACATTTATAAACATATGTTAAATATTTAATTGTATTTTAGTTTTTATAAAAAAGTATTTGTGTTATAAATATTTCGGTCTACTTCGTGTAGTGTATCTATTGTAGACTGAAGACGTATAAAAACTAAAATATAATTAAATATTTAATACAAATTTATAAGTGTAATTTTTTTTTTAAAAAAACATTTTTAATTTTTATATGTTAAATTAACGCCCTAAGTCCAGTAGTGATAAGAAAACTTATTAATATTTAAGTTAATAAATAATTAATATTTTATGATTGAGAAATTTTAATTAATGATTTTAAAATATTAAGTTATTATTAATTAACATCAATATTTATTGATTTAGGAATATATATAAATAAATTTTTAATATTTTATTTATTAATTATTTATATTAAAATTTTGTGATTTAGAAATATTAATCAGTAATGGTTTATTATTTTATTTATTATCATTTAAAATTATAATGTGATCTCAGCTCACATTGTGAGGCATGACTGATAAGGTGAACTAATGTATGAATCAAAATTTTAATATTAAAAGAAAATTATTTTCTTATTTGTATTAAATCTATATACTATTTACAGACTACCGTTAATTATTTCTTGAAACTGAACCAATTCATTAATAAAATAAAATTGTTAATGCGGTTATAAAGAAATGTGAACAAAAATCGCGTATTCACAGGAAGGATAAAGTGTTGAAGATGAATCAGAACAGTAAAGAACAGAACGCAAATTTACAATTAAATTAGTGTGCAATGAAAATTTTGATTAATTTATTTTTTCATTGAAAAATCAAGAAAAAAACAACAAAAACAAAAAACGTATAAAAACGAAACAACAAAAGCGCATTTTAATTAATTTAAATAAATTAATTTCTTTTCCAATTTCCACCACATTTTTCTAATTATTTTTACTGTGTCTGTTTAATTTATTAATTAATTTAAATTTGGATAATTCGCAAATTTTGCAATTTTTTTGAATTTTTTTAAATTTTTTTATTTATTTTTATATGTAGTTTTGTTGCGAATTTAGCATATTTGAAAATATTTCTTTTATTGAAAATACGATATTTTATTATATAAATCAGTCATATGGTATGTATATATTTTTTTTTTAATTTAAATAACATCTTTATCTAGACTCGCACCTTGAGGCTAAGTAAGCAGATGGCGATGCTGTTGTGGGCGAAACGGGTTCATCTAATTCGTCTTCATCGTTGCCAAGTATGTGTGATGAACGACTGCGTGCCAAACGATTGCGTCGTTCTTTCATTGCTAAATATCTAGAACGTCCACTGCCGTAACGTGAGTCCGAATCATCACCGGTACCATTAGCATCTTCATCGAAGGAAGCAGTGGGTGTGGATAGAGAGGGCTGCGAAACTATAGCGCTGCTCTTGCTTTTGTTTAGAAAGCGGCTTGTGTAGCTAGAAAATGTTTGTTTCATATTTCGATACTTTTCATTTTATCACTTTTTTTATTATTTTCATTCAAGATAATTAATTGCAAAAGCTTATAAATAATTTTAAAAATAATATTTTATTTATTTTTGTAAGCAATAAAATAAGTATATAAGAATATAACGTGTAAAGTAATCTTTGAAAATTTGAAGATTCTAATAAACTGTTTATTGTGTAGAAAATATAACTACCCACATAATACTGTAATGTTCGCATATATGTGTATACAAAATATAATATTAAAATGTATTTTTTAACTATTTTTTATGAAAAAAAAATTAATCGAAATATATATATTTTAGATAAGAATTGTCGTTTTAATTAATAACTTAATTTGTTGATTTAAGAAAACTATTCTACAAAGAGAAGCCTGATAATATTGCAGCTAAAACTTGTATAAAATTATACACATTTAATTGAACACATATATAAACAAAATCCTATACATTTTAATCAAATATTTTTCTAATTTATTTTCCAAAAGTTATTTAAGTACACAAAACGGATTTTAATAATCCTGAATCCTTAATTATCACAATTAAATAAGCAAATAAATAACATAAATTATTGGAAGCATTAAAACTGAACAAAAGTGCTTGAAACGAGATCATCTGATTTGGCTTAAGAAGAAAATAACTCAAATTCTTTATAATCTCGTATTGGTTACAAAAACACAAAATATTCTAGGTTACAAATTAAACAAAAAATATAACACAAAAATAATAAATATTTATATTTGTAACAATAAATATTTATTATGTTTAATACGGCTAATAATGTTGTAATCAGTATGTATAAACTATATTAAATGAAAGTTATGATGTAGGGTTTAGTGTAGATTTGTTAGATATAAAATATTTAAAAATAATAAATTAATTCATCTAAATATTTGTATTAAAATAATAAAAATTTTAAAATAATAATAAGCTAAAATGAAAGTTACAACTAATTACGAATTTTGTCTATTAAAGCATTTATTTCACATTATATAGCATTATTTAGTATTTGATTAATTTTTTTTAAAATAATTTGAAAGTTGTGTAAAATGTAAAAGTTACTACTAATTTTTATGGACTGTTATTTAGTTTAATATTTAATAAAATCTAGATATATCTTGTAACATATGTTTCCGATAAGGTAATACATAACTACAATTTATGTAATTAAAATAGCAGGTAAATAATTATAATTACTTAAAATAATCTAAATTATCTTAATTTCTTATAGTATGTATCCACTGGTTTCGTAAGACCTGTAACCTTACTGGATTTTGCTTAAATTACTTGACTGTCAAGTAAGTTAACTGGTCTAACGAAGCCAATGGAAATGTACTATTACTCCAATTTTTTTATCTGAAAACCAGATATACTTATAAGTACTATCTTTTTAAGGAAAAAATTTCAAATAACTTATTCTTTAGCTTAGATTGGCAGCTATATGCATATATTTACACAAATATTCAGTTATTCATTATAATTATATATATAATATGTATTATATTATTAAGTATATATGAAACATTTTTATTAATTTTGATTATTATCAAAAATTTTTCATAACTAAACTAAAATAATTTTTAAATTATAATTTCTATGTAGGCTACTCTGGTTTTATTATTGGGTTGCAAAAAAAATTTTAATTTAAAAAAAAAACAAATCGTACTGTTCAAAACAACTCAGTATTAACAAAATAATTTTTTTTGATATCTCACCTTTCGTAAAAACATACAAAAATCAAAACTCCTTTCCAACCAATGAAATAAAAGAAAATCGTATTAAAATTTCATATAACAGCAAAGGATTTCTTGTATAAAATTTTCGTTTTCTTAATGTCCGTTCCCCTAGTAGGGCATAAGGGTCAGCTTCTTGTATAAAATAATAACTATTAAATGCAGATTTTAAGCATATTTTTAGTTTTGTGCCAGAATCACATAATTCCCAAGGCATTATTATTAAAGTATGTTATACTCTTGTTCGTGAATAAACGTTTTTATTGTTTTAAAATGTAAATTATTTCTTAAAAGTGTAGGACAGAATTCTTGTCATAAAATATGTAATTATCATTCAAAAAGTATAACTAAAAATTACAATTATTGTAATTATAATTATAGAATTATAATATCTGAATTCCCAGTTACAAATTGCTTGAACTTAACTTCACCACAGACTCTTAATTGCTTTCAGTTTAATCTGGCTCTATAAAATTCTAGCAATATCAGTAAGCTAAAGTAATGACAAGCAAATACTTCTTAGAAATATATATCTGGATACATAATTGAGTAAAGGTTGCGTTATTAATTTTCGTTATTACCTTATTAAGTTGCGTTGTTACCTCTCTCAGCAATCATATATAAATAATATATTTGTGTTAAATTCATATAAATAATTCAACATTTCATAATAACCAATTCTTTGGGCCAAAAATTTTTCATAAAATTTTAACGCTCTAAGCTTGATAACACAAAAGTAAACAGACGCAGTTTTATTGAAGGACATTTTACCTTTGTAAACTTCCTTTGCAGAACATTAATTAGACCGAAAAGGCAAGTCTAAGTATGTAAACAAATTTTCATTTAATGAGTAAGGCCGACTTAACTCTTCAAACAAAAACGCTAATTAAAGCTAAATTTCTTTTGTGAATAGTGACTACCTCTGCAAAGGAAAGTAAATATTTTAACAGAAATATCATTGACTTAATTAAAAATGAAAACTAACAATTTTTTATAAGATTTAAAATTTAAAAAAATAAAGAAGTAAAGTTTTCAGCATTTCAGTAGTAAAAAGTCAAACTAAAATTAAATTTAAACTATAAATCACTAAATATTCTTCTAATTTTAACTTTGTAAAATCTGTACATTTAAGGATATCTTATAGCAAAATTATAAAATTATTAAATTTAATGTAGTGTCAAAATATAGGCAATGTAAATCAATATATATGTACCGAATTACAACTAAAATTATTACTGCATAAAGTAAAAAGGATTTGTCTATTCTATGTTCAAAATCAAAGAAAGGACTCTCATAAGCAGCCGCAATATGAACCATGAGAAAGTGTAGTTGTTGCTGCAAAAAAGGCTTAAGCTTCTTGTTGTCAAACAATTAACAACTAACAAACAAACTAACAAAATAACTCTTTTCGCAAATGTAGTTGCTGGCTTTGTAGTCATTGAAAATTATCTTTGAAGTTGAAAACATAAAAATGTATCTACAAAAGCTTCCTTGCACATTTGTTTGTCAGTCGGTTGATATGTCTTTCCACAATGCTCTTTTATCGACTGCCTGACTATCTGACTATCTGTCTGGCTGTCTAATAGTCTGATTGCCTGACTGTATCTGTGTCTTTAATAAGCTTGTCGATTTATTTTTATATATATATTTCCTTTTATATTCAGTGCTTTCTTTGCTTTGTTTTAGACAGCAGATTTTGCACTTTTGTCCCCTTCTAAAGGAAAAAATTTAACTTTTGATTTTATTGACATTCATTTTGAAGGGTAATTAGCACCAGTAACTGTTGCTTTACTTTAAATGAAAACTTTATACAAACAAGTTAAGTAAATACAAAAGTTATAAAACTTTAGAGGTTATATTCAATATATTAAGAAATGAAAAAATATACTTGAATCAATAATTATTCTATTACTTTTAATAAAAATAAAATGTTCTTGGCTGGCTATTAATTTATAAGCTCCTGAATTACTCATGAAATTTTTGTTGGAGACAATGTAGTAACTAAAGATTTATATTTTGATAAGACTTATTAAATTATTTTGAAGTTGATTCTCAAAAGCACTTGTTTTTCGGATTGAATTTCTTCTATTTTTTTGTAATATATTAGTATAAGAATATATGTTGTTCCTTCACCAGTCTGCGGTCCTTCAAGGAGCTTTTTCAAACTTAAAATGAATGAGTGGCTGGAAAGAGCAGCTCAGACTGATTGTGATAATACAATTGCCAGCAGACAAGCTGAAGATTCCATGCTGTATCGATCAAAAGACAGAACTAGGCAGCAACTTATGCTGAACAGAAGTGGCATTCAACTTGTCATAGGGTTTCATAGGGTTTCTCATTCCTACCCAATTATAACGAAATCAGGGAACATCTCTCCAAATGACATAATGGCATTATTAACTGCTACTCGTATATGGAACTGAAGTGGGTATGTCACAATAATTCTCAAAGGTTGCAGGGACGTGGTGACAAGTTCCTAACCCATCTTAAAATCTAATCTAATCTATATTATTCCCTACTGCAATGACTAATCTAATCTGAACAAAGATCTAATTTCTAACACTTTATGTGAGTAAAATTGTAATAACATTATGATGTATAATACTAATATTACTAAAATCTTTGATATTAATTTTTATTTTCCCATTATCTCAATCTTTATAAAAGTTCACTTGTTTTGAACGATTTTGAAGTGAAGATAAAGCTGACTTAGTTTTTGCTGTTTAAAATAAAATGAAGTCAATCGATTATAGGACGAAGGGCCTAGTAGTGCAGTTTCTAATTCTTAGTCAACCTTAAAATTAATTTAAGTGTTAATTTACAAATAAATAAGTAATAAATAAATAATTTGAACTGCAAATTTCATGTCACAGAAGCTTAAGCAATAAATACTTTAAAAACATGAATATTGATTATTTTCTTCTGAAGGTATATAGGTAGTTGTTGCGAAAACTCGTATGAGAGGAGTTCTGCCCAGATTATAAAAAAAAATAAATGGCTAAAAACTTAATATTATTAAAAAATTTAAAGCACTTGGAGAAGCAAAATAGGCTTATCAAGTACAATTCATGAAATATCGCAACAGTTGTCATACAAGGAATTTCGCGCAGAACTTTACACTAATCTCTATTTGCAAAAAGATTAATAAAACTAACAAAATTAGATGTGACAAAGTACTGATTTTATGTAGAAATCTATAAAAAATACTAACTAATAACCTTTATGTCTATAACAAAAATAGTATAGAAAAAATTAGTTACAAAATTTACATGATTTTTATTAAATGCATGTAAAGCTGACATTTTAATGAGTTTAAAATACATTTCAAAAATCGGTTAATAAAAACTTATATTTCAAAATGTAATATTACATTTTAACAAACTGTCAAGAACCACAAAACGATTAATACAAAAAGTAACAAATACAAAAACTTAGGAAATTATAAAAACATTTCTTTTTAGTAATAAAATAAATAAAATTATTAAAAATTTCATTTAATTGCTCGTGTAGCATCCGCAAGCCGCTTTCTATACTTCGCCCGATAAGGTCTAGATATATAAGGTATACTGTAAGGTACAGAAGTACTACAAAAGATACATTCAAAAGAAAGAAAACATATTTTAAGTTACCAAAATTTCATATAAAAAAAAACAATTCAGTTTATTTATTTACACAATTAAAGGATATGCAACATAAGCACAACTTTTGGTAGTATTTACCCAGCGTATAGCGCGTAGCTTGTGAACTTGGCAGTTATATTAGAGTCGATGTATCTGAGAGCTGATATATATTTTACAGGTATTTTTTTATGAAAATGTTAAGAACTTGATGACAATACGCAAAACGACACGAATAATAAACACAATTGCCAATACGTTTATGCCTACCTCACGCAGATGTACAAAGCTACAAAATATTATTAGAAGAAATAAAAAATATTTTAACAAATGAGAACTAGTGTTATATTTTATAATATTATGACTAATACATTTTATATATACGCAGTACACGTAATAACATATATAAAAAAATTTATATTGGCACACGAAAATGAAAGGGAATGTCCTTAGATAAGCTGCGTTCAAACACATATGAAACAAATGTGTGATAGGGGAGAACATACATATTTAATTTATAACAAAAACATATGTCTAAATTATTTTAACAGATAATTTTCCAAAAATAAGAACAGCAATTTAGTAAAAAATTACATGCAGTTTCATGTATTTAAGAAATCGCATTCAAATTTTTTTCTTCAATATGTACTAAAACAGCCATATCATTATTTCATACAATGCATTGCAATAGAAAAATATTTTTATTAAACCTTTTCAGACACAGTGGACTAAAAGATAAATACAAGAAATTGACGAATTACGTTTTTTAATCATTTTTAGTTATCATAAGTATCCCTGATAAATGATGTCTTGAAGACGGATTGATAGAAAAAATCGAACTGGTGTTGAGTAATGAAGAAATGAATAACTACAACTCTTTGTTTTTAATATGGAGGTATAATAATATATCTATAAGATGAAAGAAAGCAACAAATCACATTACGAAATATAACAACAGATCATTTTTTAATAACTAATTTTATATCTGGTATATCTGATACAAGTTCAGTAATTATCTTCATTAAATATTATGTGCATTTCTGTTAAATCTCATGTGTGTTAGAGTTTGCATTTGTTTTTTGTAACCTATGAGTCTGTCATTTCCATATTTAAAACAATATACTTAATATACATGGACTTAAAAATTTTTATAGTAGACAAATAAAATTTCTGAAAGTTAATGCAACTTTGGCTACTTGTAGAAAAACGCGATTAGTCATCGTTTCTAATTTGACAGACACGAGTACAAAGTCTGTCACTTACACTTCAACACATTATATACGGGCTGTAAACTAATTAAATAAAAACTCATATGTTTCTTAAGATCACTGATAATGAGTACTTGGCAACACCCGGAACAGGGTTATATGGTCAGTCGAATTACAATAAATTAATCAAATTTTTGTTGTTGCTTCTTCATTACTATTCGAACCCTTTTATTTCATTTGATAAAAAAAAATTAACATTAACATTTTTCAAGTTATGTAAATAGAATACAGAGGTACAGAGCAGTAAAAAGAAAGATTGGTATAGAGATAAGTGTTACACCATTATATACACAAATAAACAACACGAGTATATAATAATTAAAAATTTCGAGTCTAACGCCAAAAAATCTATATTTGTTTTAGAAAAAAGAGATACTTTTTTTTTATTCAATAATTTATTTTGACCTATTTCAAATACCGTCAAATGTCCAACAATAGTGATCTATTGGCTAAAATACCCATACATGATTTTTAGACTACATACGTTACGAATTGAAATTCAACAATTTGAACCGCGGTCTCGATTGTTAAAACTCAAAGGTAACGTCTACTACAATTTTAGGAATATATTATTTGGCATCCTGTTGATACTTATTCATTATCTTGAACAAACTTTATTACAGGTACATTTCTATTTATTTATTCTGAGCATTTGATCTTACTATTAATTAAATCAGCTTGTACAAGAGAAACAAAGGTATAGACAAATTAATTCATTATGGTACAGGGAGATGATTTAGTAACATTCGGTTTCTACTTCAGCAAATACAAATTATAATTTTATGCCCAAAGCGGTAGTAAGCAAGCAGAAACTGATCTGAGATTAGAGAAAGCATTCGATGAATATTTACAGGTTTAGAAAATTGCGAATTAAAACACAAACCGAAACTCTTTAAAAGAACTGCCAAACTGTTTATATACTATTTGTTCTATAATATTTCAGATCTATTTTTGAATATTACTTTAATAATTGGGAAGACAATAGTTACCTGCCAATGTAATATATTGACTAAAATTTTTCCAGTTAAGTTGGCAGCCTTACTGTTCAATTACTATGACAGTATATATTTTCTATAAATAATATATGGTTAAAAGAACAAAAATATTTTACATAAACATTACTATTGAACTTTTATTTTATATATTTTTGAAAATAAAAAAAAATTTTATCTTCTTACGAAAAAGACATTACCGTAAAATAACTCATAATGGGCGAATAAAGGATAAAGCAGGGAGGAACAGCAATTTCAGTCTTTCGCCCTAGAGGACCATCAAATACTATATGTTATTAATATATTTACTAAAATGTGGCTGAGAAAAAATCCTTAAATTTTAAAAAAGATTGTTAAGCAGCCTATAACTGTAGTCTAAGAACAATATTATTAAATACCACCCTAGATCCTCTTCATGCTTAATACGGCAGTGACCATCATCAATAATTTTTGTGTATAAAAAGAAATAACTTTTACATTTTACAGTATTCGGGTTACTTCGTTAATGTTCGTTAATGCAGGTTTTTGTGTCAGTGTAGAATAGCATTTATTAAATTTTTTGATCAAATTTTTTGTTATCCAAATTACCCTACAGGCGTATGTAAACATTATTTTTTTAAGATTATATTAATGTAGGAAATAATTTAAAATCAATTAAACATTAGTTTATTTTAATAAGTTATTTAAATTAATTACAAAATATATTTGTTAGATGTTTAACACATTATACGAGTATACGAACTTGTATGTGTATGTATAAGTGTTTCTGAGGATGCGTGTGTGTAAGTAATTTAACTAAACAGTGCATATTTCTCTAGGTTCTTAAGGCAGCCTAGTATTTTTACTATATCAAAAAGTTAATGCATACATATGATAATACAAAATAAAAACTATAGAAGATTCAATTAGTAATATATTGATTTTAGATAACAAAGTTTTAAGTGCTCACTGCTGTTGTGAACTTATTCGTTCAATTAATATGCTCTATTTACTTATTTTCATTAATATATTATGTAGCATATATTACTGTATAAAAAAAATGTTCTATAGTTTTTAAGTAGACTTAAGCTATATTACTATAGTTTTTAGAAACTAATATTACTCTAATCATTTTAACAAAAACAAAATCTAGAAGAAATCAAATAGGAACAACATACCTGCTTCCCGAAGCACCGCCATAGCGATCATCTGCGTCATGATGTGGCGCAGGCACTGGTCGTGAGCGCACAGATGATGAACCATAACCGCTAGTGCCACTGCTGGATGGTGTTGCGTACGTGGATGAAGTTCGTGAAGACGTATCATCACGCGAATTGCGTCTCGCTTCAAGACGGTCGCGATACGTTGACGAACTTGTCGATGCAGCTGAAGCATTAGCACTTGTGTTTGGTCTACTCGAGCTAACAGCACTAGAAGACTTTGGTTTCGTATCAACTTCGTCCTCGGATTCTTCAGTTGAAGTTTCTTCTTCACTGCTGGATTCAGATTCTTGCTTTTTCTTATCATTGCTAGCTGCGGTTGTATTATGCTGAGGTAGAAAACGACTTACAAATGGTTTCTTCTCGGGCGTAGCTGCAGTTGACGCTGCACTTGGAGTTGAGGTGGGCCGTGTACGTGCAGGACTCTCACGTGCTGTCGAGTAACGTGCATTAGCTGGCGTTTTATTAGTATTACTTGTAGCTGCAGCAGCTGCTGAGCTAGCTGAACTCTCTGTAGATGCATTGGAATCACTGCTACCGGAACGTGTTGTCTTTTTAACGGCTGTCACTTGTGCTGAGACTGGTGGTTTAGACTGTTGAGTATGAGCAGAGTTGTAAAATCCGTCAGATTCATCTTCAGAATCGCTGTCAGTCTAACAGTTTCGATCAATGTTTAATTTTTGTGTGGGTATGGGCGAGCGAGCAATTGATCGAACGAGCGCAAAAATACACCAACAGAGAGAGATAAATATTAAATATAACGTATGAGACAAAAGTGATGCAAGCATACACAGTAATGAGAAAAAATTTACATATACTTCTACGGACTTTTAGGTTTTTCTTAAACCTATGACTAATATTAACAGCAGTAATATTAAATTTATGGAATATTGCAATCAACAAATAGAAAAATTAGTTTTCAAGGATAGTGAAACTTTTTTCTAAATAAATGAAAGTGAAGGCGGGCTGAGGTTGCTCTATATAGTTAGATTCTATATAGTTAGATTGTCACAAACGCAATATTTTAAAAGAAAAAGTTAAGTATGTGAAAAGTTAGGTATTTAAAAATATATATTTTAAATATTAACAATTTTTTTGTAATTTTCAAAAAAATTAAAATTTAAGATATTAATTCAATATATATTCAGATCAAATGATATACATTTTAATTTCCAGAATAGATCGTTCTGAAAAATGTGTTTGTGAGCAATTCACATACGATGTAAAGAACTCTAAAAATCTTTCGTGTTCTTAAACTTTCTTATACTGAAATTTTTTACTGGTCAGAAGCTCTTGATTAAACTGAACTTAGAATTTTGATTATTTTTCGAAAATTCTCATTTAAGGAATTTAATATTCATAATCGCCTTAAGAAAACAAAAACTATGATCCAAACAATTTAGCAATGAAATGTGAAAGTAGTGAAAGTAATAATCGAAAGTGTGAAAGAGCTGCGAGAAAGTGTATGGCATGGCATGACATGATGATTTTTATGAAATCAATCTGAAGCAGATTGTGTACGCTAGAATACAACGACAAATAGTCCGGAAAGCCATTGTTAGTGCAACGTGACGGTGCATTGTAGAATGGAACGAATTCTGGCATATGGCGATGAGAGTGACAATGAAAAAAACGATGCTGTTGAAAATCTCCTCGTTGGTGTTTTTTTATTGATTTTACATTAAAATGTTTTTAAGCACTTCGCTAGGACATCAGATATTTAAAAAAAAAAAAGCAAAATATTTCAAATAAACATTTTTAGTGCGTATTAGTAGCTTTTGTGTGGAGACTATACACTCGGTTCAGATATATGTATTAGTAAAGTGGATTAAATAATTTTATATATTAATTTAAGAACAAAACAACATCACTACCACATCGTTTAAAAAAATGAAATATTTGTCAAGTGGAAATTTTTTTTTTTAGTGAAATGTAATAATATTACAATTGTATATGATAAGGAAATAAAACAAAAATTTTATTTTTAATTATTTATTTCTAAATTATTTTCGTCTTATTTTTCGGGTTTTGCAACAACATTAATACAGGTGTAGTGTATAACAACGACTAGGTAGATTTAAGATGTTAGTTTCATAAAGACAATCGATAAATTTAAAACTAAATCTATTTAAAACACAAATTTTATTATTTTATTTTGTATAAAATTATTTTAAATTCTGATGTCCATTAAAATAGAAGTACAGCTTAAGATTTTTAATAAAAATATAAAAAATTCACTTATAACAGTTCGATAGAAAAAATGCTGATATATACAGAGAAAGCTATCATAAACGGATACCCCCAAGAACGCTCTCTCTTTCTCTCTTTTTATCATTTTTTCTCTAAATAAGACAAAATTGCTAGTTCTGGCTTCGATTTTTATTCCAAATATGTTCATTCAAACGGACAGTGCTTTTAACTGGACAGAACTGGTGCCGTCTATTTCGACTTAAGGCAACTTTGATTGTATTACAAATCACATTATATTTATTATTATTCAGATACTTTCAAATACAAATACTATATATTTATTTGAATAATGTTACTCTGAACCAAAGGGAGTAGCAATTCTGAACTTTGTGTTTCCCTTTCCTTTCCCTATTTCGGGAAAGAAATCTTTAATCGAAATCTTCGAAAGTCACAAAATAGGCACTCTTTTCTATTCCTCAGCTTCCACTAAAAATCTTAAGCTGTATATATAAAGCAAAACATAATGGAAATATAACCAATGCTTGTATGTTTTTAGTATTAATAGTAAATTACACAAAAAATACAATAAATACATAAGAGATAGGATACTCCAAAGGAGGAACGTGTGAATGGAAACAAAGAAGAGGAACATTTGCATTTTAGTTTAAAATTTTAGTGCTTTTATATAAAAAACATTGGATTGTTTGGTTTGTGTGTGAGTAAAGCGAGTAATGGAAGAAGTGCAGTTAAATAGCTTAAAATTTTTATTTTAACTTAAAATTTTATATATCTTCACAATCTTATATAACACAAAGGAAAATGATTTTTGATACTATATATTCAACTTTATATCCAAAAAAAATTAAGTTTCGTTTGATTCTATCTCAATTTCATCTTCTGATTCTTCTGTAACAGTTTCGTACTCTGTTTCATACTCAGATGAAGAGCCATCATTTTCCTTAACCACACTATTACCACCTTTCTTTCTTACTACTGTTTCATTATTTAAGTTTATGCCTAAAGTTGAACATAATTTTTTTTCTTTCTCATTTGTGTTTGGAGATTTTGTACTTTCCACTACAACTTTATCAGCAGTTTTGTTATGAGTAGTTTCGTTTTGAACAACATTTGTGGGTAAGAGTCTTTTATTTAATCGTACATCCTTATCTATTAAGATATCTTGACTAGGCGTAGTAGTTAAGAGATCATTATCTTCTTTAATGGATTCTACTTCTTCCGCCTCACCAACACCCTCACCCTCACCTTCTCCTTCACCCTCACCCTCGGCATCATTTTCTGCCTCTCCTTCCTCTTCACTCTCTTCTTCACTATCCGATTCAGTATCTTCTTCGCTGCTCCCTTCACTACTTTCTTCATCACTTTCAGAACTGCTTTGTGTACTGCCTTCTTCTCCAGTTTTGCGTGAAGTACTACTACTACTACTGGAACTACTTTCCTCTTTACTATCTTCACTACTCGTGTCATTACTACTTTGTGTACTGCCTTCTCCGCCTGTTTTTCGGAAAATAGTACTATCAGTAGAACTGCTTTCCTCTTTACTATCTTCACTACTCGTATCCTTACTATCTTCACTACTCGTTTCTTTGCTATCTTTACTATCTTTACTGTCTTCGCTACTTGAATCTTTGCTATCTCCACTTTCCTCATCGTCACTACTCTCACTTTCCTCATCCTCACTTTCTTCCTCCTCGTCTTCCTCATCGTCACTACTACTACTACTACTTTCACTGTCACTTTCTTCTTTATTTTCATCATTCACACTCACCTCTGCTCTTGGAGGCGTTTTACGCACTGGTGAAGCATGATTGGAGCTATCACTCTCCTCACTGGCTGCTTGTGCTGTGGTTCGTTTTAAAGCCGCAACTCGATCAGCAGCTGGTCGCTCTGGTTCAGCATGAGCTGAATTAGTCGCCACAGCATTGCCAGCTGCATTGGCTGCTGTTGCCGTTGCTGTTGCCGCTGATGTACTACTCGCAGGTGCGTTTTTATTCTGACGTTTAATGCGACTGATTTCATCATCTTCGGAAATTTGTCTTTGTGCTGCTGGTGCTGGCTGTTGAGCTGGTTTGGGTCGCTGCATTGAAGCCTTCTGAGCTTGTATCGCTGCTTGTACTGCAGCCTGTGCAGCTGTGTCTGTCTTCTTTTCTTTCTTCTCTTTACCAATATCTGCCAAACGTTGTATAACACGCGCACAGTCACTTAAGCGAATAATGCCACTTAATTGACCACGTGAAGCATCTTCACCATTTAGTACACGATCTTTTTTCTTTTCGAGCTCTTGTCGCTGCAATTGTTGCTGCTCGTTATCGGAATCTTCGTTCTGATGTGAACGTACAAAACGTGAACGGAAGCGGGATTTGGCTGAACGTCCAGACTGTTCATTATCGTACTCATTATCATAATCGTAATCGCGGCCATAACGGTTCAAGCCACTATCACCATAACGATCATTGTTGCTGCGCATAGGACGTTCACCAAACTTGCGACCACCGAGTACAGGCTCATCATTATAACCACCACGTTCTTCTTGCTGTCTAAATTGTGTAGCAAGACGGTGATCACTTTTTGAGCGCATCAAACCTGGTTGTAATGTTGATGGTGGTGCTAAATGCGAACTACTAGCTGAACCACCTGGTGTTGAATGTGGCATAATATTCAAATCACCAAAGGTAGCTAAATTCATAACCAACTGATTAGGATCGATTGAAACCATAAAACGTACTCGTCTACTATAATCCGCATTTTCATATTCGAAATGACGAAGAAATTCAACGGTTTTCAAAAATATTTCTTTAGTATCCATCAGCTCACAGTCATCCCATTCTACTGAGTCATTCATATACTTATCCACAATATCGCAATTGCTTGCAATATTATTTATTTCCAAATCCAAATTTTCTTTCAATGTTGTGAGATTTCGTAGCTCAACGGTGAGGTAGCGGTCAATTTCCCCTTTCAATCCTTCAGAACGGTCTTTAATGGCTTTGGTAATGCGTCGATAAATTTCGTCAATCTCTTCTGTCACACTTACACAATTCGTTTGCAGGCTAATAGTATTTTTTTCTATAACAGCTAATGAATCCTGTAAGCGATGCAAACTACGACGAATCTAAAAGTAATGTATGGTTTGAAATTTTACATAGAGACATGAGTTTAAGCATATAACTGACCTGTGAGTTGAAACGTGTTATTTCGCGCCTTAGTATGTCCATGTGAGCACTCTTGCAGTCCTCGCATATTTTCTTCTCACAATGTGCGCAATGCGAGAGATATGCCTTCTCCGAACAAACGCCGCAACGCTCCATAATTTGGCCTGTTTGAAAAATTTGAAACAGCTTCATAACTGATTTACTTCAAATTTAGCAATAGTATTAAAATCAAATATATAAATAAACTTTTTCAGCTTTTTTTGCTTAATTTGTTATAAAAATGTGAAACATTTGCACTCAAAATTTAAAAAATATTAACATTTATTTTCTGAAAGTTTTATTTCGAGTTTTGAAATTAAATGTCAAAATATACAAAGTAATCGTTTGGATGATGTGTAGTTACAGTAGTTACTTTGTTATTATAGAAACTCATTTAATTTTTTATTAGTGAAAGCCTTTATATATAAGAAAAGAAATCTGAAACATTTAGGAGATGACTTGACTTCTCGAAGACTATAGAGCAATTGAAACATTTTCGAAATTTGAAATTCTTGATCGGGTAAATTCGAGCAACGAGAGCATAGGAATACGTGAATACTTTAAAGAACTAATTAACCCCAAAATTCTGAGAACTTGACAAATTGTCAAGTATTAAGCCAAAAGCTTTTTACTATTCAGTGAAAATGTTGACAAATTTCAAAGCTCGAGTGGCTAGTGCTTTTCACCACAATATGGTGAAAAGTGTTTTGTATGCAAAAATCAAAAGTCGTATGTGGACTAATTATTATATTCATATCACGTCTTATTACTTTTATTTTTTTTTAATTCGTTATTTGTTATTTAGAATTTTTTTATACATTTTAAAAATGCATATTTTTATCCAATTTGTAATTAATGTCAAGTAAAACATAAACGGTGATCATATGCCTAAGAAATATATCTATTACAATTTCCGTTGGTTATAGGCAACCAAACTTACTGCTTTGACATTAATACTATATATACATTAATACCTTTACTATTTACATGTAAATTAGGGGGGCATTCAGCATTGTTTGAAGCTGGAGCAGTAATAGTAGTCAACTGCTACTATTGGATTTCTTATAAGGAATTTTTAAAAAAATCTGAATTAAAATTTGGACAATTTAGTTGATATCCATTTCCTCCATTTTCCTCTTCATCTAACAAGAATAGTAACAGTAATATATCTTCTTCTTTTTTAACGAATTATTTTCAAAAATTCTGTGAAAACAATAAAAAATGCTTGTAAGGAGTAAAGAGTGTCTACTTGACAATTTATTAAGAAACAAGCTTTATATTTATAAAACTGAATATCAAAACCTTGACAAATTGTCAACCTTGACAAATAAGAAAGATGGTTAGTAATTACCAATACTTGACAAACTTATCAAGTTCACAGAATAGTGTGATAAATATATTTAAGAAAATAAATCTGTTAATACTTTTAGACTGTGCTTGTTTTTCTTCAAATCTCTATAAGCTTCAAATCTCAAATCTCTCTATTAATGACATATATTTATGATATATTGAGATATGAACACTTACCAGAAGTTGGATCTGGCAATTCACCGGTTATTTCTATATGTAATTCGAGAAAACGTTGCAGCGTTACATTTGTGGGAAACGCCTGCACTCCATTGTATGGTATGCGATGTTCGGCACGACATTCTGGACACTTAACCTTAAGTAAAAAAAAAGGATATAAATTTTTTAAAGTAAATGTACTTGAAAACAAAAAATTATATTATATTTGCAATAAATTTTTTGAAGTGTTAATTTTGTTAAAATACTGTGCGCATCTCTAAAAACCATTAAACAAAATTAAAATGTTACACTTAATGGCATCTTAAAATGCGTAGACGTTTTGCTTTTTGTCACTTAATTATGCAGAAAATTACTTATTTCACAAAGTAAACGTAACTTCCACATTTCCATGACAGAAAGAATCCATTGTTCTTGTGATGTACTTACAAATCTTTTTGTATGTGACTACGTACGAGTAGGACATACGCTAATGAGAATGACTGCAATTTATATGCATTACGTTTTTTAATGGTTTGGAAAATAAGTTATTTGCTTAAAAACAAGATATTTTAGTATGTTTATTACTATATCTAACTTATGGCTGAGATGTTATGGAAATAAATTGATTTCTGATCAATTGTATATAATCACTCCACCCAACTAAGTAGCAAGTACCAGTATACCTATTTTGCACGGTTGAGTTTTTAAAACGATACTATAACATTAGTCCGTTTTAAGTAAGTAGGGGTATTTCATGAACAGTAACCTATATTTATTCTATTAACTGTCTGCTTCTGAATAGCATATCTATTTACTTATATTTGAACACTTTATTTATTTTAAACAGTGATTTTAATCTGAAAAAAAGAATATTCTATCACAAATATATTCTACTAAAATCAAGACATATATAGAAAGTTACAGCAGGTTTTAATGAAGCAGGTACTTATTAATATTGGTAAAGTTATTCAATTATATAGATTTTATCAGTATTGCATTCTATACCTCTGTGTTCAACATTTCAAAACAAATAAATATTATTTGCTTATCGAACCAAGTCGTTTCTGGAGTATTGATTGTACTTTTGATATCTCGAAAAATAAGCTATAATAACATATAACCTACTGGAAAAATTTGTTCAAAGTAGCTATCCAGCAAAAGTCGTTGTCATTCAGACTTTTCCGAAACCGTTTGTATTATTCATTATAGTTCTAATTTAATATCATTGCCAGAGATATTCCCTCAATCTTTTCTTTTTGGGTGCATCGCTGCACTTAATTCCGTTCTTAACACAAAATTTGGATCTGATTTAGATAATCAAAATCAAAAATGATATTAAATTAGAACTATAATGAATAATACAAATATTTTAGTTTGATTATCCAAATTAGAATCCAAATTTTGTGTTGAGAACGGAATTAAGTGCAGCGAAGCACCCAAACGGAAAGGATTGAGGGAATATCTCTGGCGATGATATTAAATTAGAACTATAATGAATAATACAAACGGTTTCGGAAAAGTTGAATAGACGCTAAAGTCCTTAAGCTAACTGACTAATTATGAGATGAAAAATTTTTTAAACACAAGTTTTGCTCTCTCGGGATATGAAATAGACACTTTTAAATATAATTGATATTATTGATTAACATGAATCCCTTTTCCAAAACTATATTCTCTGATTGTATGTACCTTCTGCTCACATATGCCAACGCTTAACCTAATCTTCCACACACTTTTCGTAGGCCCGTGCAGGTATGGCTTTTAGTTCCTTCAGCGAATTCACTTTTACCGATTCAATCGACTCAAAACGCTTACCACGAAGGGGCAATTTGAATTTCGGGAATAGGAAAAAATCGCACGGCTCCAGATCTGGCGAATATGGTGCCTGAGCGATGACAGTGGTGCCGTGTTTGGTCAAAAAATCGCGTACAACAAGAATTTCCATAGTAAAAATTGCTGAATGGCACTTTTCACTTGAGCGTAAGTCTCACATTAATCAGCTGCGTAAACTGATTGACAGGATGCGCTACAATTTGTTACCATAATTCAAGGAATGGGTGTACCAACATAAAAAGAAGAAATTTTTGAAAAAGTAGAAGGTATACTATTCCAATCTGGACGCTACTATTTATATAAAAGAGTATGAAATACTTGCATATAAATAATGACAGCTATTTAATGTTGCAACTCTTTATGGTTATATATTATAATATATTTATATAAGTATCTATATATATATATATATACATAACATTTAGTAAGTAAAGGCAGCTAAAGAATAAAAATTACTTTTTTTTCATTTCACCAAATGTGCGTAATAATTTTGTTCTTATTGTTCTTCATAAGACCATAGGCCACAGTATATACTGGCTTTCACGATTTTTCTCTTTTCTTTTGGAAAATTGCCAGATAAAATATTTTTACAATAAATTTGAAATTTATATTTTACGTAAACTGTGTATTTCACTCAACAAACTCTTGCCGCATAAATGATTTTATATATTTTTCACAATTTAATGCTCTACTTTTGCACCGGCTTTCAGAGTGTGAGTTCACTTCTTAGGAGTGGGTACGTGTCTGTATCTGTATCTGTATCTTCATACAAATATCCTAAATGTGTACTGGTATTATTTTTTTAAATTTCTGTGTGGGTTGGTTTAATATTTTAAAGTGTTAACTTTTGTTTTTAACAAAGAATAAAATATAAGTATATATAAATGTTTACAGATTTTGCAAAATTTGTATACAGTATATTTTTTATGACGTAGCTGCTACCATTAAAATTAATTGAAACATCAAGTATATTTTCAATATTTTTGTGGTTCTCATACAATATTTTCAATTAATAATTTATTGCAACGTATGCAGTTGCCAAAATTTCTATTTTATTTTCATTTAAAAGTACAAAATCAAAAAATGCTATAATGAAAATGTTCAATTACAATAAAAGATCTACATATTTAAGAAAATAAGTTACTTAAATGGCTTTATATTATAATGAATCAATATACCACACATTTTAAGAATTATAAATTCAAAAAAGAAACCTTAATTATTACAATCTTTATACTATTCATCATCCATTAGCTAATTGCAAATATCATAAGTATAATATTTATCTTTTTATTATATCACTAAAAGTTGCTTTCTATTTAGTTCAACCTACGTTGGGACATTCCACTATGGAAGTTTACAATCTGAGCAGTCTGATGGGGAACACAATCTGCATCTTATTTATCAAACTTGGTATTTGGCTTTTTAACTCAGCTTGACCGGGCAAGTGGTATTAAAGCGACGCCTATGCGCTACTTAGGCAGAAGCGGAAATCCTGCCATGTATTACTTTTTAGATTATTTAAGGACATTTAGAATGAATAAAATAGATAATAGAAAAAAGATTATTTCTCGTGTTAAATTATTTACGGATATTTGAAAACAAAAAAATTTACACGGATTAATTTATCGTGGTATACAAACACAACATACTTTCTATGAAAGAAATGGAATTCAAAACAACAAAAATAATATTTATATACTGACTTATTGGCACATGATTGTATGGATACACTAATAAAGTAGTGCTTTAATGTATTTATTTACTTTAAAAACATAATTATATACTATGCCTATTTATTTTATTAGTTTATTAATTTAACTATACATGCGACCATCCAAAGAAAAAGCCTAAATTTTATAGAGGAGTCAAAAATAAGAGTTTGTATGTATTTTCTTGACTTAGAGATTAAATCTGTATTTAACAAATAAATGGTCAGCTTTACTAAATAGAAGGTCTATGGTATCATATACAGTAGATGTGTCACAAAGACCACTGATAACGTTTATTTGGTAGTATTAACTTTACTTTTATTACATGCTATACGAAAAATGATATAGTACCAATACGAATATAAATAGAAGCTGGTGTGATACTAAATAATCACCACCAAATAGAACTGCAAATATTATAACATAAAGTATTGAACATAACATTATTTATTATTAAATTTAAATATGTTTCCATAAAAAGCATTCCTCAAAATAATTTCACTTTGTGAAAATATTTATTTAATAATATATTTAAAATCTATATAAATTTTATTAATTAAATTATTTTTTTCTTTTTATGCATAAATAGAGATTCCAAGAATTATCAAATTTAAAGCAATAAAAAGCATATTAATTTTATTTTAAATATTTTATGAAGCTTATGATATATTAATTGAATGCATTGAATATGTTTAATATTCGTTTTGAAATTAAAAAATATTCTACCTGTCGTCGCACATAATCCACTAAACCTTCCATGCAGGGTTCCATGCAGAAAGAGTGTTGACATGGCAGCAATTTTGGTATGCGATACCGATCTAGGCAAACGCAACACGTCAATAGTTGTTCAAATTGTTCCATTTTTCACTGTAAATAATTATGAAAATTGCAAATTATATTAAATTTAAAATATAATTTTAATTCTATTTATAAAAAATAATTTAAAATACCTTATTATAATTTTTGTATATATAGAAACTTCATTAAAAACTGCTTAAAAGTAAGGTAAGCAAAAAAGATCAACTATGGTCGCGGTGCTTCGCTACATTGGAAGCTGGTATCCTGTATTCTATTCTATTCTAAGGTATTATAAAGAGAACTACTTAAGCTGTATGCGATTAGATATAGATTGTATTATGTCTTGAATAAAATTGAGCAAATTATCAAGTCCACTGAGCTCCTACCGATATGTAGATGAAAAGTTGGTACTGTAATAGCCACGGTAATGACAACAATATAATGGAGAAAAGATATCTCTTTTAATTAATATATATTTATTTAGAAAAAGTATTTACCACATTTGTTTTTGCTTTAAATGCTTTCATTTTTTAACTTACAATGTAAGTAACAACAAATATGGTGATCGACGATTAATTGATCGCCTTTAAAATATAGCTCTTAGGGAAACGAAGGTCCATGTTCTAACAGCATTTTTAAAGTTAATGAAAATACTATATAGCAGCAATAAAAAACGTGACAAATAATTAAAAATGCGAAACTTTTCTGTGTTTACCTTTGTATTTTAAATTAAAAGCTGTATTGTTAGAGTAACTAAAAAGATATATTACTTATGTTTCAAATACGAAATCACATAACGAACTCATTCTTTAATTAGCTTCTTCTGGGAAGTGCCCGGCACTAATGCACAAACGGAAGAAACACCTAGGAGGCTATTTCATGAATCAAGTCTAAGTTTCAAGGATTCAAGTCTAGAAACGATAAGCTCTGTACTGTCTTTCATTAAAGAAAGCAGACTTGGAGAAACATTCTAATTCGAATAAGGGCACAATAGATCTTTTAGGTCTCAATACACTATCTCTTTTCAAATAATAATAATAATGTAGTTAGCTTCTTCTGCTAGCAAATCAATTACTGAACTATAGTAAATAATGATTACTCTGATAAAATGAAAAGTTAGAACAATTTTAGTTAGAACAATGATTGGAAGTTATTAATCTAAAAGAATAAATTACTGTATTTATTTGTATTTGAATTATTAAGCAAAATTTTTCATACATAACCACAATTTTAGTTTGTTGTAAGTAATAGATATCATCGTATATACAAATATTAAGAAAATTAAGTTTATTCTTCTCTTCTTCGTTATAATACGATATAACACGATATACGATATAATATAATCGTAACTTGGCGATTAGTATTATGGACGTATGCGAGTTAGGCTCAATACTCGATTGTGATATAGAAAAATTTGATTTATTGCCATTGATCGATAAAATCTATCCATAGAATGATAAAATGTAACAAATACTTTAATGAAAATTTAATAAATTTGCGTAAAATTACTTATTTTGGAAAAAAGTTATATGAACAATCAATTCCAATAATGAAAATAATGTAAAAATAACAAGAATAATACAAATAATAAGGATTTTCCTTGCCTCTTCAATAAAAAATATGTGTTCGCAATATATTTCGTAAAAAAGAAATATGAAAACGCTATTAAAAATTAATGAATTCATTTTTTTTGCATCATTTTTATATTATTTTGACTATATTGCTATTCCTAATTATTTCACCAAAAACAACAAAATAAATTTCTTCTAAGAAGCACAATTTATTAGAAACAAAATATAATAGAAAATAATCCGGTACCGCAAATCTTCTTACTGCCATCATTAGAAGGCACAGAAAATCGCATTTAAATATGACAATGAAATCAATAAGCCAATATTTTTCTCTTTACCTTTATTAGGAAACTTTTTGCTCGAAAACGCCGACATATAAATCAACAAAAGCAAATGACTGAATTAATATTTTTTTACATATTTGTATAGACGTCATTATGAAAGTCATATACATATATTTTAAAAGTTTGGTTTAGTAAATAATACTATTAACGAAATTTTTCATAAAAACAACATATTTTTGGCTTTGTGACGGCATTTCTAAAGACAGCAATGAAGACAAAATAATCTGGTTGGCAGGTAACGCAAACATCTTAAGATGTAAAATGAAATTTTAAAAAATTTATATTCAGTAAACCGCAGCAGAAGATTTTTTTATACTAATTTGCCAATTATTTATTATTTTATACAAAAAAAAAATTTAATGCGCAATTAATTTCTAATTAAATGGCCAAATAATTACTTAATTGTACTGTTATCAGCATAGAGGAGAAGTTAGGTTTAGGGATGTATCTTTATGCGCCAGGTTCCACGTAGACCTACCTATGGTTCTTACAGGGCGCTTGTTACGTGTCCCCTCTTAATGTTTTGACTACTACATTATATTAGATTTAGAAGACTTTTGAGGTTTTAAAATGATTCAATATTAAAAAATATATTAAATATAAAATAATTTTTAATTATTTATAAATTATTTAAGTAAAGATTTATTTTTGTAAACGGCACAGCATATTTTCTCGAAGGTAATTTAAAAATATAGAAATTGCTGATTGTTTTAAACTAAGTCAAGGTACTTCAACAATTGACACAAATGATTGACGAATGTATGTCATTGTGCAAAAATTATATTTATCTATATATATTTATATACATATATACTATTTACTTAATTTCTCATACTGTGTACCTAGTACTTAAAGAAATTTTTATATGATTTTAATAGCTTTTACCAATATTATTTCAGCTATCAGAGTTGATTACTGTTATAGAGTTGATTTGTTATATGTTAACTCGTTTAATTCCGCCCACTTGCCATATATTTTTACTACATAAATACCAATGGAGATATAGAATTATCTTTTTGATAGAACACGGATATATTTATTTATTTATTTCAGTAATTTCTAGTTAATGCAATATTCCCATACATAAGCACACCCACTGCCTTCAATTACACCCTTTTCCTGTTGATAGCTCCAAATTAATCCCTTTTGCACGTTTCATTTATCCTCTACGAAACAATCAAATCAAATCGAATCCAATCATACCAATTTATCATTTTCTGCTAATACTCTTTGCTATTTGCCTAATGCGGTGTGTTCTCATGTAATTTAAACCGACTCGCACTTCACCATATCCAAAATTCCTGCCAAGCAAGCAGATGGCAGTACTTTGAATGGCATATAGCCAAGCTGTTCCAAGGTGTGCTTCCACAGTGTCGTACCTATTCAGCCACATTTGTGTTAACATTGTAAACGTGGCATTTCTGCAATGACTGGATTTAACCAAACTCAAAATTGAATTTTGAATTTGAGTTATTGAAGTGTAGATAAGCTCCTATGTGCATATGCACACATACTCATACATCCTTTTAGCTTTTCTTTACTTGTGTAGTTATGTGCATATATGAGTATGTTTTCCAAGTAACATGTTTCCTAATTCTATACGGTTTTGTGGAAAATGAAATGAAGATCTATGAAATTCAATTAATTGAGATTTTTATGCTTAAAGCTGATTTTATGTCTGATAACGAAGTAAATTTAATTAATTAAGATTTGATATTATACTTTAAATCAATCAAAAGTACCCTTCAGAAATTTAAAAGAAATTTGTCACATTTCTTTACTTAAATTGAAAATCAAAAACTTTTACTTAAAGAAATGTGATTTATGTTATTTAATCTAATTTTTTTTTATTTGTGTATCAAAGCTAAAACAGATAATATCATATATAAGAATTATCAATTTGGAAATTTCACGTACTTTAAAGGCATACAGATGAATCCACAAATTCAAATCCATCTTTAACTATACTATACCATTGAACCCTTAGTTATTGAAGTTTATTAGACTTTATTGAAGTTTATTCGTCTTTAGAATTTATGTTTCCTATCCAATTTCTTCCATTGGATGTATTAATTTTGACGAGGCTCTCATCATATATCATATTAATTATACTTAATATGCTTAAATGACCTCATAGAACTCCACTCATCATCCCTTCTACTCATCAATGTTGAAAACAAACTACACTAGTACAAGTATATTTTCAATTTGTGTAGTAAATGTTTCCGACTTGCAGTACATCCGGAAGACAGGTTTTATAGCATTATATAAGCTGCCTCATAAAGCTTTTATAGTTAACTTTATTTGATTGTGATTATCTACCTTTGGCTATTTATGATTTACATTTGCACTTCTTATTGTTGTAAAAAATCAGTAAGTCAGTTGTGAGAGAAACCCACAGTTTTTTGCCTTTGGCATACAAATAATGTGTGGGTTCAAATTTTTCGTTTGCATAACCCCACAAAACTAAGTTCTCCGATAACTAATCGTATAATGTTGATGATAAATTAAGATTATCAAAACATGATAGTATACGTCCCGGAAACTTGGTTTGCACACAACTAAAATACTACGTATTGTCTGGCCCGTAGCAATGTATCTCATTGAAACCACATATCTTTCATTTTATATATTCAATTTTACCACAAAAAATTGACGATTATATGAGTATACTTATCATCAATGACATTTTATGTTATGCCTTCATAATATTCCAAAGAATACGGGTCTATCACACTTCCAGTGAAGTGACCAAATGTTACAACATATAGTGACTTTAACAGAGATCACTTAAATGATATGGATGCTATGGACTTTCAACCATTATTACAGATTCAGTACGGGTCTATCACACTTCCAGTGATATGACCAAATATCACAACATATAGTGACTTTAACAGTGGTCACTTAAATGATAGTTATGGATGCTATGGACTTTCAACCATTATTAAAGATTCAATCATTTTTTAAAAGTAAGAAGTGGATTTACTGCCCTCGGTAAGATAATTTTGTTTGTAAACATATCTATCAATCGAGAAGTAAGCTTCAGACAAATGTCATGTGAAAAGTTATCATTATTTTTATAGTAAGTTTTTATGTTCAGCGGTTGTTTAACGATCTATATTTAAAATTGACAAAGCTCTAACTAAGCTTATGATGGCTTATATATGGTAGTAGCTTGATCCATATTTGAACATGGTAAACCTTAAACTATTCATATGAGTTACATGAGATATCATTGAAACAGTGCTGACATATCAAAATCAACATATCTGTAATACTCAACATTGTATCTCCCTAATTGTGCTTTAACTTACATATTTACGAAAATTTTTGTTAAAAATTTAAATTGTTAGAAAAATGTTTGCAAAAGGTGAAGAACCTAAGAAAAATTTTTCATACTTCCTACTGAATCTGAATTTTAATTAATGATTTACACCTCGGCATTATTAAAATATTATTTTTAAAATAAAATCTCAAAGCATGCATTTCCCACTAAATGCTTCATTTAATATGGAATATATAAATTATTTAAGAAATATTTTTGAACAGCATGAAATTTTGCATTTTATATTTTTGTATGCGGCAAGTCGAGAAAAAATTTGTGACACAATTTAAAAGTAAAAATGCAACCAGGAAACAAAATGCACCGGGCGTGATTATTTTTAAAATTTTTGCTTCAAAAATTGTGTCACTTTTAAAATTAAGAATTTTTTCTCAATTATGCCAACACATTTAATAAAGAGCTGAAGGCAGTTGATTTTAAAGAAAATTAAAGGAGGTTTGTATATTGTATAAATATTTTAAAATTATTTGAAATCCTAATTATATGCAATTTATATATACTCCTTAATTTCTCATTTAAATGTTTGCTAAATTAATTTATAATCCAATGTATTATTTACAAACTAAAAACATTTGTATTTAGTAAATATAGTACATATATACTCGTTTATCTTAAAGATTGATGTGCGCCAGTTGCTCTTATTTCGCATTTTACAGTATACTTATTGAATACTCATTTATTCATCTTCTCTCCTCTTTAATTTCAGTAAATTATCTTTAACCTTGAATTTGCATAAAATCGAAAAACTACAAAAATACAAACTAACGAAAGATACATTTGTATCTTTTGCCAATGTGCTTAACGAAAACCACAAATGAAGCGAACAAAATAATTTTCAACACTGACGATATGAACCGGAAATTGTTTATAGTTTTAGCAAGTAAATATATAATATTTGTTTTATTTAAGCAAATCGACCATGAGCTTAAATAATTATTTTATTTATAATGCAGTATATAATTGTAGAATAATTTATATATAATATTTTTTAATACATTAAATTTCTATCTAAGTAAAATAGATATACAAAATAATTTGATTGAATAAACATATTTATTTTTAGTAATTTTTATATTTCATATTAAGAAGAAACATTATTAGTTATTAATAATTTATCTCATATATAACTCATATACCATACATTCTTTTTAAAACGAAATTTTTATATAATTTAGTTTTATATTAATATTATTTTAAAGTGAATATCTTATAATCATATCAACTATTCGCCTATCAACTATTCGGACAGAAGAGACAGATCTGTCATTGCTAAAATCATAAAAATTACAAAAAATTCTAAAGTTCTTTCAGATGTTCTTGGATTTCATACTCTACTACATAAAATAGAGCATGCAATCTATATAAAAAAGAAATTAGAAAGAATACTTCATTTTTGGAGAAACTTTAATCCCTTTCATACAGATACCTAAATTAAAAAGGTATTATATCATAATAATTTTTGGAGAAACTTTAATGCCTTTCATACAGATACTTAAATTAAAAATGTATTACATATTGTACTATCAACCATAATAATAATAGATACTTTGTTCCTCTAGTGTTTCTTATCTGCTTGCTAAGGCTTATGTTGAGGTTTTTCCGAAATAGTGCAACTGAGCAGTTTTACTCTTTCTTAGCTGTGGGGTTTCTACAGCGTCCCCCCTTTTCTTTGGCTAGCGTATGTGTTCCTCACAAGTTTCGTTGATTATTTGCTAACTGATCAAAGATCTGCATACCTCCCCGAACGGCTAGTGACTGCTCTAAGATTAGATAGTGCTATGTAGGGCAGCCTGTCAGTTTGATGTTTTTTTTTGTACCGGATCTAGTTTGAGGTCTCTAAACATGTCATTCGTGCGGATGTACGATGGCACTTTGAAGAGTCTTTGAAGAGCCTGACTTTGAGCAACTAGTAGCTTCTGGATAGTAGAGTGGACAGCTTTGCTATACTCGACTTACCTGCAGAGAAATGCCGATCTGATTATCTGGTTATAGATCAACTGTCTGTGCTTAGCGCTAAGTTTATTGTGTTTAAAAACTGGTCGTAAGCACTGCAATTATATATGTTATGAAACTTAATTTTTTTGTAACTCTGGTGTTTACATTTAAATTTACAGGCACTCAAACGGTGTGCAGTTGTGCATTGTACGATAAAATTGGTAATACTCTTCGATATACCCACAATTCAAAGGTTTGCAACTTAAACTTATCTAATTTGTAGATATGCTAATGGCACTTTCTTTCTATTATATGTTTTCGTGAATTTATTAGGGAAATCTGTTTGTATTTATTATAATGAAGCTTAAGTAATATCATAACAATGTCATGTTTGATAACTAAATACTTAGTTAATAACTGATTTATATTTATAACTTGATAAATTAACACTTTCAATTCTCTATTCGATATTTAAAATTGAAATATGTATTTATATATTAATATTTACTTTAATATAAAATAAGAATATAGTTTATTTTATATTGTAAAATATTATATCCATATTGTTAGCACAAATAATAACTCGTTATATTCCATACAAAGAAAACCAGCAAGAATAGGTAATTATTGAGATACAATCATTCCCTACTTCATTGTATATATTCACTATATAAATCATAAGAATTAATTTCAATTATATCGAAAATGAATAAAATAATAACTCTCAATAAATCCAAATAATTTTCTACAGCAAGGATACAAAAAGTCTTTATATTAAAAATACAATGGGTTTTAATGGAGTCTTGTCTAATTGATTTGTTTTTTTCCATTTTATATTATTATAATTAAAATTATTTTTACCATTTTATTACATATTAAGAGGTTAAATTGTCTATACATACCAACAAAATTAGAATTTGCCGCTACAGAATAATTTTGCAAGAAATGTTTATCGTTTCAAAAGTAATCATTAAAAATAAAATTTATAAAATTTATAAAAAAACTTTTATAGCTTATAAGTTCCTGTATTTATTTAAATTCGTAATTTTAAACAATTATATATTGTCTTATATTTTTAAAGTTATTAATTTTTATATCGGAACACTTAACCATTCAGAATCATTTTAAATTTTATGATTGTTTGAATATGCAAAATAATACTTGTTTAATTTTTTATTATTTACACACAATACACATAATTTCTATTAAATATTTACTGGAATATATGACTTAATGTATATATATTATATATTAAATTTTAACTACTTTTTTTCGTTCAATTTTTATTAATTACAGCGCGCAGCGAACAATTTTAAGTAAAAGTAAGAAACTGACTAAACTAAATTTTTCAGAAAATTATGCTCAACTTGCGCATGAATGAAAAAAAAAATAAAATCTTAAAAAAAATAAGATATAGCGGAAAATACAAAAATATATTAACGTTCTTTAATAAAAATATATTTAAAAAAGAAAAAAAATCTTTGAGGAAAGTGTGTATCTCGCAAATACGAAAAGAAAACACATTTTTCTTTTAAAACGGAAAAGTTATTCTTGGCACAAGTACAAGAAGCAACAAGAGAACGATCATCACATGGCAAAGATACTTTCTTGCAGATACAAACTCACACGACAACGAAGAAGAGTGCACATACTCATGCATATGAGATTCAAAGATAATTTCGAATTATTTTTAAATTTCAGTTTACGCAAATATACACTTTATTCTGTGCTACATATAGAGAATTAAAGATTTATTTTGTTTTTATTTACAAAACTTATATCTGCAACAAAGAACTTTTATATCAAAAAAGTTCGAACTTCATTTTATAGAAGCTTTAAGATGAACCATGTGCTTATTTTTTAATTATCTTAATATTTACAGTATTTATTAGTTATAAAAATATATTGAGCGCTTTATACATTTTGTGATGCAATTTATCGATTTTATACACCGATCATTTACCGATCACTAATCATCATTTGCTTTGAAATTAAAAAATCTAACCCAACACCAACTAGAATATAATCTCCCTTGTAACTGAGTGTAAAAATCCACTCTAATCTTGCATGGCATATAATGCATATATAGAGATTATTTCCTATGCAAACGCAAAGCCCTACGAAAGAATCGGAGAACCCTTTACCCAAAAAAAAATCCCAAAAAAAAATTTCGAACTGTCATAGGAAACTCTTGAATTAGAAGTACAATATACAATTTCAACCATTATTATTTGCATTACTTAATCATAAGAAGGGAACACATCTATCAATGAGTACTAAAAGTGTACACAAACACGACTAGCTAACGTGTGGTCTATATAGAATCTGTCGCAGCTTCACCCCATTAAAGCTATCTATAACAACCTACACTCTGACTAAAAGTACGATAAAATGTTAATAAATATTCTTATGATATAAATATTCGACATTATTAATATTATTCAATGTTTTTAAAGAAAACATGAACTACATTGCTTTATAGGCACAAATTTTATTTACTTATAAAATAAATAAATCCAATAAATTAATGAAATTTATTAACAATTTTTAAATAATTAGAATATTAGTAAATTATATGTATACTTTATGCGCGCAGTGTACTTTTCTCAAAACCAAATGGAGAAAAAGCCACACCCATACCACTGTAAAACTTTGATTGAAACTCAACCCAATGTAAGCGCAATGTATGCAAAAATGCAGAAAGGCCCTCCATTACAACGAGTATGGAAATCGTAAGCACAGCCCAGATACTAAAAATTACGAAAATAATGATTCCACCAAGCCAACCAAAATTTCCCTTTAGTGCAATCGCAAATACCATATTCCACAGTACTGTCGATAGCTGATCGTGAGCCAGCGATAGAGCCCACAAACGTAAATATGATGCTGTATGTGAAACTGAACCAAGTATGCTTTCAATACAAGCAATTCCTAAGAAAATGGACTTAATTTATAAATTAATGATTCGAGTAAATGAACTGTGTGGAACGTACCTGAATGAATCCATACTTCACTCATATCGACTTTTTCTTCTTTTTCTTTTTTGATTTGCACAACAGTGTACACCAAACTACTGCGTACCGATGTTAATGTGTCTCTTAATTTTCTGTTCTTTGCTTCTTCATCCTGTATTTTTTTAAGTTTCCGTTTTTGATGTACTAAATAAAGTGGCTTACCAAGTAATAACACTGGTATGGACAGATAGGCCAGCAGTAGTAATAATATTTCTATCACTGGCTGCCCGAAATACATATAACGATCGCAACCTTCTTTAGTTTCTTTATCAGATTTCATTAATATCATATTTATAAATATAATAAGTATGGATGGTGCACAAGCCGAATTATTTGGAGGGTCCTTATTTGCGCCATACATGAACCATTTCAATATGATTAGAAAGCACAAATAAGTAAATAAACAGTTTAAGAAAACAAACTGTGGAATGAACACTAAATATAGATCAGCTTTTTTTTTAAAATGCCTGTAATTGAGAGCTGAAAGTGTGTAACCAAATAGCATTTGTGCAACTCCCAATATAATAGCCATTTTCATTTTCATTGAATTCAGTACTATAATATCATTTTCCCCTGATGCATCCCATACGGGGTCCATTCCAAAATAACATGGATTATTTGAGTAAAGGTCTTTACGTCGAGGATCTAAGGATATATCTTTACTTTCATTAATTTCGTCCCATGTGAAATTGACTCTCCAACTCGAACCAACAATATTAAATGATTTTGAAAATACATCATTGTACATTAATCCTGTATACATAGAAAATAGACCCATTAGAAGAATGACGTAGCGGCCAGCAAATAAAATTGTGTTTATTTCACTAGGGTTTATTAGTGAGTCCAATTTTGCCTTTATCTTTTCTTCTCTCACTATTAAAGTCAAAGCGAATAATGCCATTATCATGCCATGCCCAAAATCGCCAAACATAACGGCAAATAGAAACGGAAATGTGACCATAGTGTACGGTGCAGGGTTAAGTTCTCTGTAACTGGCCACCCCATAGGAATCAATTAAATTTTGAAAGCCTCTGGTGTACTTATTCAAAACGAAGTGGGTAGGTGGTTCTCTTTCGTCTGGATCAAATTCTTGTATATCAAGCATTGGTATAAACATAGGAACACCAGGTCTTTTAGCTGCACGCATCGCACCATTCATCAAAGCTTTACGTACTTTACCTAATTGCATTGTTGGTATCCAACATTCTCTGACAAGATATTTATCCAAATTCTCTAGTGTACTAAATTTGCTAAGCTCTGCGAAAGTCAGCATTATTTTTTTCACTTGGTTCTTCCAAATGTATATTTCCGTCGCGGCAAATTTGAGCACACGTAATCTATGATTTTTGGCACTTTCCAATACTTCATTTATATCATTTATTTCTTTTTTAAGTTGGTGACAGGTACGAAGTCGATCCTCCTGAGTTTCAGGAACTTCATAAAGTTCAATAAGAAAACCTTTGCAAGTACGCAGAATTTTCTGTTGAAGTTGATCACCAACAAAGAAAATCATAAAAATGTATCTCCTACGCCGCGGATTTGATAAAGCTTCTTCATTTAGCTCCAGTAGATCATGTTTTATTAAACAATTACCATGACACATGCGCCACATTAAAACTTCGAATGTCGCAAATCGGTGAATAGGTATAGTGCCAGTCACATAACTTAAGTGTAGTGGTGGTCTAGTGGGAGCGTCAGAAATTTCATCACGCAAAATTTGTATAATAATACTTCCACTATAAGCCAATATCGCACCCTCATTTTTTGCTCCGGACATGAAATCGTCTGCTTTCTTTATTACCAATAAGCGGTCATTCAAAAAATTTCTGTGTTTTTCAAGCTCATGTGTTTGACCGAAAGCACCATCCAATTCAGATTCAAATTGTTCCATATTTTCTTCAATCTCAAGTAAATCGGAAGCTTTTGGTACATTTTCTGTGTCAACTGCTGGATAATACACTGATTTTATATTGCTTTCATCCATTTCCTCTTCTATACGCTCAATAATTTTGAGCAAGTCCATGCAACGTTTAACTCCTATTGCGTATTCATTTTCAGCATCAGTATTATCAGTCCTCCAATTACTAACGAATTCCACTTGCCCCAAATAACCTAATGCAATCATGCAGTCAAAAGCTGATTCCTTATGCAGTACAATTTGACAAAGTGACATATCAGCGCTACGATAGAAAGTCGTCATGTTTGCAGTGATTAGGTTTCACCAATATTGAATGAAAAAATATATTTTGATTGGTTTAAATTTTATTGTACTGACAGAATGGCATTTTAAAAAAATGCATATATGATTATCAAAATTTCAAAAAAATGAAATAGCATAAATACCATAATTGAAATTAAAATATAATTCAAATGTATCTTCTGTTAAAAATAAGTTCTACTTCCTGGTATAATAAAATAATTAGATAATAACTTAATTACAAGCTGGGGCTGGGGTTTTCTAATAAAATAAAGATATTAGTGTATAAGGTCTGAATAGTAGGAAGTTTGGATCGTTCCTTGTTTTTGGTAAGTACTAAGTTGAACTCAAAAATTTTTGCTTGTTTTGATAACTTTCAGAACTTTCTTTTCATTTACTATGTAAACCTTCTTTGTTTTTCACACCATGATTTAACTTAAAAATCCCGTAAAAAGTTTCTCTTCAATTATTCATAATGATATTCTTGAGCGACTGTTATTGGTAGTGCTCGTTATAAGTCGGGATCTAAGAAGTTTCAGTTGAGAAAAATATGTTTTATTTCATGTTAAAATGCTGTGTTAAATAGTGTTAAATAGTGTGTAGAGTGGTATAGTCAAAGCCAGGGTTTCGAACCGAAACCGAATCGAAAATCGAAAGCAACCGATATTTTTGTCGAAACGAAAACCGGTATCGAACCGATATATTTTTATTTAGTTTTGCCGAACTAATATGTGCACCTAGGCAACTAAAACTATGTATTTCTTCGAATCAGTGGGGCCTGGTATTAAAACAGGTGGTGATTGTCAGTTACTGTTACATTTTTTATGTAGTTATTTGTTTTCATTCTGTATATTCCAATCTAGTATTTAATTGCTAATGTTATTTGCCAGCTTTTGTAAATATATTCTCTTATCCGCGCTTTTTATAGTAAGCCACAATCGATGAAGAGATGTGAAAGAGCGCGAGGTTCTCCTTTTCCTACGAAAAGTTCAAAGTAAAAGTTCACACAATATCTCTTATTATATCATTTTATTTAAAAACAAGCATACATATAGAGGAGAAAATAGAGGAGAAAGACAGGCAGCAATACCCCATGAAACCTTTGTAATTATTAAATAATAATATTTTGCACTACTTTTATGAAGGCTACCGCATCATGTTCTGTCTCGGCACGGAATTCGTATAAAAAATTTTAATAATCTCATTGACTTGTATTGATGGAGGAGATTATTATCCTATAGTTTTAATTTTAATAATTTCATTGACTTGTATTGATCGAGGAGATTATTATTCTATAATAGTAGAACAATCGACAGAGATTATTAGTATAATTTTCAAATAATAAAACTATTTTAAATTAAAAATATCATTACGATTTGATTATTAAATAAATTAAAAGTATTTTTTAAATAAAATCCAATCATAAATATAAATTTTCATTAAACACATTTAAACAATATATCGACCAATTATTTGTACATCGACTTTTCCACGGTTACTTGGCAATATCAAAAAAAATCATTGGTTAGTATTTTGAATACTAAATTATTTTATTTTAGGCTTTTAAAGCAGATATATAAATAACTCAAAGATTTTCTATTAATTCAGTTCTTCAATGCACATTTTCTTTTCTATAGCTATTTTAAGTAATCGCACTCAAGTTGAGTTGAGAGTTTCTTTAATAAAAATTCAAGGCAAATGTCAAGGTGAACAGAATGCCAAGTTCATTGATCTATTGCAATACGTTCGATATTTTTAATAAATATTCTCAAAATTGAGAGATACTTTAGCACAATATATATATTATTTTTACACAATTTGAATTAAAATTATTTAAAGCTGTGCACTTTTTCAATTCTAATAGTATTTATATTATTGTTAATTAAATGAATATTTTGTGATGCCTAGAGGAGATTAAAAGAGATATTAGAAATCAAAAAAACTATATATATTATAGTATAGTTTTAATAAGATGAATTGACTATGTTGCAGAAATGTCTTTTCAATCTGTGTTGCGGTTATCTAACGACCTATCTAAATAATTTTCTGAACATTGGTATGTCTGTTTATTTGTGATAAAACATTATAAACTAACTTGGTACCAGTAAAAGCCCCGAATCCTAAAATCTTATAACATGACCTCGTATAAAATACGTTGTATATCTGGTTGCCATACACTCCTCAACTGTCAAATAGAACTGTCAATTTCAATTCAATAATATTTAATCACACATTTCAGAGGTATATTCTGTGAATTCCAACAGATAAAGTTTAAATATAAATAAAATTGGTTAACTTTGGTTAATATTGGTTTATTTTTAAAATTTAATTGTAATAAATTTAAATCTAGCAATAAATTAAATAATATATCTAAGAGCAGTATTGGTAATAGATAACTGCCTTGACAGTTACAGTAAATGGCAACATTGCGGTTGACATCAGCTTTACAACTATCTCTTATTCTTATTCTATTAATATCTTGCTATATTTATTTATTTTTAAATTAACATATTACATATATACTATGAACTATATTTAATTGAATAGTATTAGTATATTAAGCAAAAATGTATTGCAGTGAACTTACAAATTTAATATAAAAGGTAGTAATCCGAGGCTCCCCCTAGGGACCTACTACCGCTGTTAACTTCTTTTCCTGAAACAGAATAAGAAAAAAATTAAATGAAGTTATAAAATTGAATTAAATATAAATTCAGTAAGTCAAGTATTTATATTGAAAATATTATACCAATCATATTCATATTATTTATATTGTTTGCAATAAAACAAATGAATTTTTTACCTATAACATATATGTATATTTTAGGTGTCAGGTATACTTCTTTAATATATATAGTGAATTACAATAAAGGATAGCCACACAACTACAAAATAATAGCAAAACCGGTTTCAGTTGCTTTTTTGCAATGTAATAACTGTAGTTCAGTGATCTTTCTGAGTCAAATGGACTACAGTTGCCGTCTTTGTTATATTGTTTATTTCTAATACATATTTTAATATTTCATTAGCAATCAGAAGAATAGTCTACATACCATAGGGAGACAGAAATGAAGATGCAGATAAATTTACAAAGAATGGCAGCCTCAATGCTTGCTGGTCCGCAATAATTCTTTAGTTTGGGAGGAGGTCATTTCTTACCATCTTTATCTTTATCTTCTTACCATTATCTTAAAAAAAAAAGTGGCTAAGAAAGTAAGCTATACTGGGATAATCTACCAGGGGTAACACAATAAATGTGACTTAAACTGAAATAAAATGTTGATATTAATTTTAATGTTTTAGAAATAATATAATTGGGGTCACTATCGCAGTTCTATCATTGCAGTTCTCTTATAAAGCCAGTATAGTACAGTAAAGTACAATTTCTTATATTATATTATATGACAATAGTATTATATTTTTATATTACTCTCTAAAATTCAATATTAAATAATAAATATATATAAGGTAAGAAAATTATCTGTAATAGATGGGTTATTCCGATAGTAGCAGCTTTTGTGAAGGCCAAAACTATGACAAAATTTATTTTAATTGTTTGAGAAATTTATAGAATCCTTCAATATATTTTCCTCATTTATCCTCATTTATTTTTAAATTAAAAAAAAGAAATAAAGTACAGTAAAAACTTTTTTCGCATTCAGACATCATTTGCAATGTTTAAAGGGAATTTAAATATGTGCAATGCTGAGCCAATAAAGTTTTAAATTTAATTTGCATTGCTTATACACAAAAAAAAAAAATTACTCACACATGTATTTATACGAGTATATATATATATATGTAGTACATAATGTATATGATCAGTTAAAGAATTAAAATGTGAATAATGCAGCAAATATTCGGTGACGTTTTGAAGTTCACTGCATTCAATTTAAAACAAATCGTTGCATTTCAAACAAATCAAATAAATTTTTCTACTATTTTATGTGCCAGATGATCAATCATTTATAAGGAAATCAAAATAAAAAAAAAATAAAGATTTAAAAAAAATTTAAATAAAGTATCTTACAGAAAAATGTTTATGATGCTTTAACTTTTCTCGATTTGATATTTTAAATCATTAATAAAATGTTTGATTTTTAATAATTTTTGACTGAATTTAAATATTAATTAATAAATAACATATATATTTATGTATAATATAACCATCCGTGCAACTTCAAATTTTATATTTACATATGAAAAATAATTAAAAAGTTTTAACTTCATTCTTCAATAAAGAATGCAGTTAATTGCAATTTAATAAAATTTCGTACGTATTTCAGTTGTGAATGAATTAATTAAAATTTTAAAAATTTCCATATTCACGAAACATATAACTTTATAAACAAATAGCAATAATATTGTCATTATCTTGCATTAAATATTACTGCAGTGAGAAGATAATTAAGCTTTTTGCAACTTATCGCACTTATGGAATAATAAACTTAACCCTTTGCCAAACGCCATTGGTGTTAATAAAATTTCATATGAATATTTTTAATTTTATTTACTCACAATAAAATTGCTTTGGGGCGATAACCAGCATTAATAATACTATTATCCTGTATATTTATCGGTGGGTAAATATTCATTGCCAAAATGAATATTTTTATATTTTATTTTAAACTTTAAAATTCCAAGCAATATAATTTAAAATGGTTGTGAGATTTTTAAGTATATTTTGCGATCTCATTCTCCGTCCTACAAAATCCTCCAAGTTTCATGACATCAAATTCAGAGTTTGGAACGTTGATAGTTCCAGCTATAATGCATAAAAACAAAGTACTTTCTGTCAACGAAGAAATCTTCTGAGCATCTTCGAACTCAAGTCAGTGTTGACAGCTATAAGCTTAAACTTTCAAAAGATTTTTTATATTGAAAATCTTGCGTAAATGATGTCAGCCTAGAGATCAAACGAAGAATCTCTCTTGCCAATGGATTTTATTTCAGGGTAAGTAAGCATTGAAGATATAAAGCCTTCTCGCGAAAATGAAAATCATGTTCTTTAGGACTCTTATTATGCTTGACATGCTTTGTAATGCAGAAATTCAAGAACAACAAACAGTTATAAGAAGGAATTAGAATCAATCGAGAGAACAACTCCTTGTAAGATCTACATATAGTTGCGTAAGCGTTGATAACGACTATCAAATAAGATGGAAGAATAAGCTATACAAGTTATACCGTTAAATAATTAAAATAAATAGTTAAGCGAATGAAAAAAAGTGTTCTGAGTAAAAAAGTATTTGATTCAGTACCCGCTGGAGAAAATCGTGGTATAGAACGTCTCCATATTTGGTGGATGAACAAGGTGACCAACTGAGCTGATATGAGGACACTCGGTACTACCAATTGGAGATAGTAAACCGCTAATTGTGTTGGCGAGAAAAGAAGACTACTGAACGTGATTAAGAAATACATTTATTTGTAATGGTTGACCAAATTTTGAAATTTGTAACAACAAATTTTCTTTGCGAGTTTGTCCATCGCTATTTTATCGGTATTACCCTCTACCCACTGAACAAGCATAGCTGGAGTATGTTATGCTACTAGATGCTACCAAGAACTGCTCGCGTTTGTAATCATCGACAAGATAAGTAAGTCTGTCAGAATATCATCGGTAGTATCAACTAGCTACTGAATGGGGATGGCTGGCGTATGCTTGCAACCAAGAACAAAAGAACTACTCGACAATAGTTCTGTAATGGCACACCAAGTAAGTAAGTTGTTCACTTCAAATTTTCTTCAGAAGTATGTTTGTTATTGCACCTTCGGTACCACCAACTAGCTACTGAATGGGAATGGCTGGCGCACGCTTGCAGCCAAGAACTAAAGAACTACTCGGCAATAGCTCGTTAATGGCACACCAAGTAAGAAAATTTTTTATGTCAAATTTTTAACGGAAATTTGTCTGTCAATACATTATCGATACTACTACCCAGCTACTGAATGGAAATGGCAGGAGTATGTTTGTCAATAAGAACGACTCGCATCTGTAATGACTAATCAAATATGTAAGTTTACAGTTGTAAAATATCTTTGCAAATCTGTCTGTCATCATATAAACATAACTTCTAAAGTGATAATTAACATATAATAGTCATGCTTAATTGTTTTAACTAAAGTTATTCAACTTTTCAAGAGTATATTAGCAAATATGTATTTACCATCATCAAATCGTACTTAAAAATTGTAAAATATTAACTTTTTTCTAAATATACGTTATAATTTTTATTTTAAATAAATTAAAATTATGAGTAATATTTTTGATTTCCTTTTTCTATTTTATAAATATATGAAGTAATACAAACCATCCACAGCAGTGTATATCATACATGGAATAATTTGCGCTGCCAATATTTACTACCAAAAATCCGATAATAAAATAACAATTAAAATCTTTCACATTGACAATGTAAAATTGGCTTCAGAAATGTCATTCCATATTAAACAAAACCAAAAATTCTATTTTTAAGTAATTTACGAGAATTCTCCATTGAACCACAGTTCGTCCAAAAAATATATAAAAACTGTTGTTTGGTTATATACATAAATATCGAGCAAACGTACATAATAAAGCCAATTTAAACAATTTACAAGTGCGTAAATACAACAAAAGAAATGCATTTCTACGTAAAATATAAAATATTAATAAATATAAAAAAAAAGATTAATAAAAAATTCGGATTAACATTTGTTTTAAGGAAAATTGCGAAATCACGCCAAGCCAATTGCGACATGCGTTGAATGTAAAATTTTATATTTGCTTGTATCCGCAGCGATCGCGCTGACGGCTGCGGCCATTGTTGCCGCCATTGTTGCCGCCATTGAGCTTTTAATTAACCAAATTCGTTTCCGCTTTGTTGAGTGCGCATTGCGCTCGTTCCTTGCTCTTCTGTTTAGCAACAACGAATGGCGAACAAAGCAGGAAAGCCATGGAGACGAAAAAAGCAACAATTTTGAAGTTTGTTTGTTTTTGTTTTTGTCTGCGTGGGTTCAACTACATCCAAACCGTCCGATTTGTGTCCAATTTTCTTCTTTTTTTTGCTTTGCATTCTCTTTTTATGTTGTTGCTCAATTTGTTTTGCGTTTTTGTTATTTTTACTTTGTGATTAATATGCTTTACGGATTTACGGATATATATAGTAGATGACATTTTTCAATATTCTGCGCAATATTACTTTCTTTCTTTCCCAACATTTAGTTTTCCCCCTTCTCCACATATATGAATCCAAAATTATATATTAGATTATTTATTTTCACGGAGAAAGTTTTTAAAATTTTTTATTATAATTTTTATAACAAAATATACTAAATATAATGTAACATGGAAAAATCAAATCTGTTAACTAGACTCTAAAGTTCTTATCTACAAAACAAGTAATATACAAAGAGTTTCCAATTCTGGCATGACTGTAGAAAATAAGTATTGCCTTCAAGAAACGAAAAAGAAATCGTATGCATATTCGTTTTTAACATTAACTGTGATGTGAGCTGTTAAAGAAAAGTCTATTCCAAAAATATATATATAAACAAAGATCACCAATCTAGTAAATGCAACTCTACCAAATAGCATGAGTTCTTCGATTATTAGTTATTAGTATTACGATGCTTTGTATGCATCTATTCTCAAATGGATGCGGAATGATATTT